AGACGGCATCAAACACCCCGAAACCGTGTGGGTCGTCTCATTTTTGCGCCACGCTTTCTGCTATATCTGCATTCTTTCCTCAAGATTTCAGTATTTTTGCCGCTAGAGGACTTCTCATACGGCTTTTCCGATGTCTCTGTCAAATGATTGTCCGCCAGAGCTCCCGCAGCAAGCTCAAGAGCCAGTCAGGTTATTTAAGGAGATTGATGAGCCGCTTTTCGATTTAGAGGGGCCCATTTCTATCTCCTGTCATTGTAACAGGATCAACGGCCTCATTAAAGTTCTTCCTCTTCGTGCATTTGGCAATGGTGCCAGTATTGAGATCGATATAAATCACGATTATAAGACAAGAAAATACTCGGGCCAGTTGGCCGTATCATACTTTCCATCGATTCAGCCGGAGCCTTCCATATTAGAAAAGACGGTATGTTTCCGTCTAGGCGACCTTGACCAACAGAATGCCACTACCATCTACTTTTGCCCCACCTGTGGGTGTCACCTTTTCAAGGAGGAGTGGGAAACGGTAGCTGAAAAAACCGGACCTACTTGGGCAGTGGCAACTGGAGTTGCGGAGAAGATGCCAGAAAAACTAGCTACTTTCACAATTGGCCGGCATATAAATGTCGACCAGACGGGAGATGAAGGGTTATCAGTTTGGATGAAGGCCCGAAATGATGGTAGCATCATCCAGACAGATATTCCACTGCAGGATAAGGAGAGTCTCCTGGCGAAAGGGCACACTCTGCTGTCGTCTACGCCCATTGCCAATCCTTCAAGTTCTGGGGACACCGATGGCGACACACTGGACGCGTCTTGCTTTTGCGGCACTGTCAAATTCCATGTCACAAGGCCTAATCATGAAAGCACGCTGCCAAAATCACAATTTCCTGATTTGATGATCCCATATTGCATCAAAGCCGAGGAAACCCCCAACCCCGGGGACAAGAAATGGTGGATCCGGGGGGATCGCTATCTTGCAGGGACTTGTACGTGCAATTCCTGCCGTACATGCTCGGGCTTCGATATACAATCGTGGAGTTTCATCCCCCGTGCCAATATATTCATGCATCACTCCGACAAGGTCGTGGGCCTCGATTTCATGAATCTGCCAGAGGGTATCCTACGCAGCTACAACAGCTCGCCTGGTGTTACCCGAGAGTTCTGTCCTGGATGTGGAGCGACTATATTCTGGCACAACACTGACCGGTCGGAGCTGATTGATGTTAGTGTTGGGCTGTTTAACGCACAGGGGGCAAGAGCAGAAGGTTGGTTGGACTGGTGGAAGGAAAGAGTTAGTTTTGAAGAGGACCGTTTCGATGGATTGATATGGGATCCGGTGACGTGCTTGGTGACGGGACTTAAAGGGTCTATTGGAGCGGGTGTGTAGCATGGCGACTATTTAGGAGGTTATGGATAGTGCCATGCTCTGAGAGACTGTAGATACTGGCAAGCGTCAAAATGCCGTAGACCCCAGCATGCGCTCAAGTGAGTGTGGATACTTGCATGTGTTTTGAATCTGGGGATGCAAGCATTTATAGGACCATGAATAGTGGCGCGCGTCGTGCAATGCGTTGGGAGATGGTATGTTCGGCGGCACTGAGCATCATTATCCCACTCCGGACAACAAATGATACATTATCCTCGAATATCAAATTTGTCATTGTAAATTTTGCCATTTCATATCAGCAAGTATATACCCCAGAACGCCTTGCCATGCAATATTGTAATCCGCCCCGTCCCTGGACATCCCATTCTGTGCCATGCCATACCAGAGGCAATGTGCCAGTGCACTACCACACGTATCGCAACAACCCACTCTTTACTCCAATTTGTCCAGATGCTCCAGCCTCGTCAACACAACCTGTTTGCTCGTCTCCTCAATCTCACCAGCAAGGAACACCTCGTCGAGAATCGCATACACCTATCCCCTCAAATTAGCCCAATCCCCCTCCCAAAACCCCCTTCCTCCAACACTCATGCGCACTCACCTTATAGAAATTAAACACCAAATCCAGCTCACACACATTCCCAAAGAAGCTATCCAGCACCTCGACAAAGAAGTGTATAGCCTCCAGATACGCCAGCTCATTATCATTCGCATCCACGCAGACGCAGAAGAACAGCCCCGCATACCGCCGATACACCACGCGGTGCTGTCGGAACTCCACGAAATTCGACTGGTGCTTCTGGTCCCGCGGCGCGATGAGGCGGTGCACTTCGCCCTTGAGCTTGATCTTGTCGGCGTCGGTGTAGGGAGCGTACCATTTTGCTAGGCGGGTCTTGCCTCTGGAGAGGGGCGGGGGGGTTAGCTAAGTCTGGACTTGGGAGGGGGGGGAGAAGGGAGGAATGAGGGACGCACTGCCGGTTTTGGATCAGGATGAAGGAGAGCACCATTGTGTCTCTTCTGATGCCTTGGCGGCTGTCTGTTGGTTCTTTCCTCGCTGCGGCGCGCCGGTGTTCGTCGTTGTCGGCGACGGCGGAGGTGCTGGGCGGATAGCTATTAAGACCGACCCTCAGACCGCCCCCCGACGTCCCCAAATTACGGGTGGCCAAATACGCCAGTTGTGCACTTATGTATATAGGGGTCTTTTGGGACTCCTATATTTAAGTCCGAACCACAGGAGAAATACCGTATTCAGTCTCAAGCTAATGGGTATATCGCATGTATAATATATACTGTGTTTTTTTGTATTATCAACTCCGTGATCTATCCTTCCTCTAGCTTTTTATCTTGTAGACTTATACAATACAGCCAGCCGACGGGCAGCCGCTCCTCAAAGAGCAGGCCAGGCGGGTCTATCTATACAATAAATTTACAATCCGACCAAACCCTCTACCAACCAGCCCACATAGATACCCCCTTCTCGCCCTAGACGCCACTCACTCCTTCGTTACCAAACCACTTACGCCTTCACGGCGACGGGCTCGGTATCACCAGCCCCAGTGTCATCTTCGGCGATGCTTTCCGCCGCGATCTCGTTAATGCCCTCCTTGCCTTCACCCTTGATGCTCTCGCCATGCTCGTATGATACACGGCGCCATCCGCACTCCTCGCTAGGATCCTTGATCCACTCCATCGTCGCGAAGTAGTGCTCGTTCTTCTTCATCGTACAGATCCAGGGGACGTTGTCGAACGTCATGCACTTGAGGCGGAAGTCTGAAAGAAAACGTTAGCAACAGAAACAACAGACAAGAAAGGTTAGGGAGGCTACTTACAGGTATTATCCGGAATCCTCACGACCTCACGAATAAAGGCCTCCAGATCCGGTGTCGCAACACCATTAACAGCAGTGATGAAGTTCGTCGGCGCAAGCCCATACTGGTACGCCGGGCTACCCCTCGTGCGTGCACTAACATACACCTCACTGTGCAACTTGCTGATCTGCTGACGCACAGCCAGATGGGGGCGGTGCAAGACGGCACCACAGAAGTTGACTGCGCGGTCAGTCTCCACATCGTGCGCTGCGACCGTGGGAACTGCAACGTGCATCTCAACACAGTCACGGACGATGACGGCGTCGAGCACCTTGCTGTCGTACATGACATCTAGCTCCGAGACGCGGGTGACGATATTCCCGTTGAGTGTGAGAATGACGTCTCCCTCCTGAAGCGCATGCGAGTCCTGATCACGCTCAAAAGTGCGTTTGCGCACCATGAAAAGCTGGTGATGCGCGGAGTTAGCCGCAGCGACGTTCTTAATCCACGACTCTGAGACGCCCATAATGCGCGCCTGCGACATCTGGATAGCATTGAACTCTACGCTGAGCATGCGCAGTTCCGGGGTGACGCCGGCCTGGATCTGCTTGATGACGGGGAGTAGGGTTGGGGTGGCCATGCCGAGGTGGTAGTCGCTGTCTTTGTTTGTGGTGGAGGAGCGCTCGCCGAGGTATGTGAGCCAGAGGGCTTGGACGGTGCCGTCTTCGGCGACGAGGACGCCGCTGCCACATTGGCCGCTTAGGCTTGTGTCGACGGTGATGGCGTCGAGGTTGACGGCGCGGTAGCGGGGGGCGCCGGCGTTGGCGGGGATGGCGACGGCGGTGATGTCGGTGACGGTTGTTTGGGCGACAACGATGCGCATATTTTGGTTGAAGCCGATGAAGTACGTTGAGGCACCCTGCTTGATCTGTTCGGTGCTGAGCTTGGCGCTCTTCACTGGTGCGTCCACGAGCGATGGGTCATATTTGATGATGGCGTAGTTTTGTAGGGGGTGCATGAAAACAACCTTGCCGTCAACAATGATTGAATCCGCAATAGTGATGGAAATGTCGCAGAAGTCGTACGGCACAACCGCGCGGGAGATGATGACAAGACCCTTCTCAGCATCGAGCACGACACCCATGCCCCACTTGCGGTTTCGCGGGAAGCCGTCCAGCTTAACTGGCATATGGCACGCAACACGCACAAAGCTCTTGACTAGCTCTGCAGCGGCTGGGTGCGTCGGGTTATCGAGCTGGATGAAGCTCGCGCTGCGGGGAACAGGCGGCAAGGCCGGTAGGGCCTCCGCGAGATCGCTGAAATCCCATAGTCCAGTGTTATCGTTTCGTACTGCCAAGCGCATCTTACTCGACCAGTGACGGTCAATGTAGAGGATGCTTGTGTTGAGGGTGTGTAGATCGCGTAGATGCTTGTATGTGACAACAACGCGCGAGCGGTCCGGGATGCCCTTCATGACTTCAATGAAGGTTGCCAGGTCCGGCGTTTTCTTGTGATCCACCGACTGTACGAGCCATCCGGAATCAGTGCCCTCAAACTTGAATGATCCCGTGGCCTCGCAGATGAAGACGCCCTTGCAGGCGACAGCGTAGAGGCGAGCCTGCTGGTACGACAGGTCGTGGAAACTGGCGCCAGCAACGGAGATGAAGCGATCCGGAGTAATCTTGTGCAGATCCCCAACAGCAAGTTCAACCTCGATATCCTCACTGCCACGCTGTATGACAAGCTTGACACCCTGCCCGACATTCGAGTCGAGAATATCATCCAGCCTCACAAACTGCGTCAGCAGCTCCCCATTGACCTTCAGCAAGATATCTCCCTCTTCAAGCTTCGTATCCGACGGTCCCTCCGGAAGCACAATCTCAGCGACCAGCATTCCCGTCTCCTTCGGGAACTCCGCGCGTATCTTTGCCTCCCATTCCGGCGTCAGCCCTAACCTCCGGCACTCGTCGAACGGCTTCAGCATCCATTGACACTGAATCGTTCCTCTTGTGATCGGCAGGCCCTGCTGCAAGCACTCCAGCGCCCGCTTCGGCCTCGACACAGGCAGAAAGTAATCTGTCGCGGCGCCGTCCGCTCGCCCACCCGCCTGCAACGCCACAGCGAACCCATCGATATTCACAACAGGCGACCCCGAACTACCACCACTAGCCGCAGCAGCCGCTTGGATATAGTTGGTATTGAAATCGCTGTATCCCTCTCCGTACTCCGGAGCATTGCGATCGAGTCGACTGATGACACCAGAGAGGATACTCAGTTTCTCACCCGCATCGTTACCCACGACCCTAATCTCCGCGCCCACCTTTGCCAAGTCCGGGCGCAGCTCCAGCGCCGCAACGGGCATATACTTGATAGCCTTCGGGTCGAATCTCAGGATCCCAAAATCGTGCACCGGGTCGCGGTAGACGGGGTATGCATCGACCTCCTCGTGGTTATCGAAGACGACGTAACCCCAGAACGGGCCCGAGCCGACGACGTGACGATTCGTGAGGATGTATCCGCGCTCTGCGTCGACGACGAAGCCGGTCGCCTCGCTGGTGAGGGCGGGGTCCGTGTCGAAGGCGCAGGTCTGGCAGAAGCGGATGGAGACAACGTTTCGGACGACTTCCTCGATGGTAGCTTGCCACTCGGCGCTGTCGGCTGGGGCGACGATGCCGATGCGGTCGTCGTCTTCCTCTTCCATCTCCATCTCCATCTCGTCTATGGGCGAGGAGGAGCCTAGGTCTGGTGTGTTCTCTCCGACGGACTCTTTGCCGTTAACCGCGCGGTGCAGCTTCTGTGGTCGCTCCGGGAGCGGCGCAGCGTGCTGCTTGCGTTTCGAGCGAGTCGAGCCGTGCATCGTCATCTTTTTGAAGTGTAGTGTTGGGGAGGAGTGTATGAGTCGGAAGGCTGAAGGTGAGAGGGCGGTTTTATGGGTCGAGGAGGCGAACTTGTCAAAAATGCTGGTGGATGAGTAAATGCGTTGATAGGTCGTCAAAGGGCGATAGGCAGCTGGGAAACTCGTCAATGACTGTCGTTTCAGTCGAGCGCATACGGCTCTATTCATCCAGCATATGATGAAAGCGTCTAGGGGCGAGATGAGCAGTCAATGGGCGCGGATTGTTGAATTTTAACTGTGAGGTTACAACAAAGCTCACAGGTTACGGTACATGTAAGGCTGCTGGTTGTTTTCGTCGCATGGCCCAAAAACAGAATGTGGCGTGAGGAAGTGTGGCTGGTGTGAGGTGTGGCTGGTGGCCATATATTCCAGGCACAACAAACCAAACCAAGCCAGATCAACAGACCCGTATGAATATAACTCAGCTGAACACATATTTGTACTCACCAGCCTCTTAACGTCCCATCCACATTCACAGTGACTATACCATCAAGTCTAGATTCACAGTCACTATAACATCAAGTCCACATTGATAGTCACTCGCACGTCACAGTCACAACTCAAAACCTCTCATACCAGCCAGACAAAGCCAGCCACCCAGCCTCATAATCACAAAAACAGAGATCTCTTGAGCTATCGTAGCAATTACACACACGTCCTCACCACTCAAGCACCCTCCCCCTTCCCATCCATTGCATTTTCAAGGGCTCCACAAAACGTACAAAAAAAAAAGAGAAAACAAAAAAAAGCAGAGGTAGTAGTTAGTTAGCTAAAGAAGCACAAGCAAAAATAAAACAATAAAACAACGAAAAAGGCGATCCCGGGGGTCCCAGGGAAGCAAGTCGGGTTAGAATAGCAGCGAGAAGTGGCAAGGGCCAATATTAATTCTTCGTTTTCCGTGAAGACAACAAGAACAGCCCCGTCTCTTTTTTGTTGGAGGAAGACGCAAACGTCTCCTCCTCCAAGTTTCTATTCCACCCCGTGTGTCCCCCCCGCCAAGTGCCTTTTCATCGCGCCCGCCTATTCCGCCTGGTTCCAGTAGAGAGTGTTGAGAGAGGGAGAGCAAGGTTTAAGAAACTGGTAAGAAGCATGCCGCAGAACAGGGCCTGGGGGGAGCTGAAATTGCGCCCCGCGTAAGATACACCTCATTCGCCGTCGTCATTCGAGGAATTAATGTCGCTTGAAAAATTACAAGGAACAAAAAGAAGAGTGTGTCTGTTCGTTTCGTTATGAGATCGAGATTGTCGACGGTGTGCGAGATGCAAAGACGGGTATCCTTTAACGCAGCGAGAACTTGTTCCTCTTGCCCTTCTCTTCCAGCGGTCGCCCGCTCTCGATCCGGGACTTCTTCTCCTCGAGCTCCATACGTTGGCGCTCGAGCTGCTCCTTCATTTCGCGATGGCGAGCGTATAGCTCCTCCTCGCTCTGCCTCAGTTTGCTCTCCTTCTCGGCAACCTTCTGCTGGAAGACCATCTTCATCTCTGCCTCCATCTTGGCGAGCTTCTGCTCGTGCAGGCTGCGCTCCTCCTCTTGCTTGACAGCGGGGTTGACCTCCTTGAACACGCTGGGGTCCTGTGCAACACCCATACCAGTGAGCTTCTCGGAACGGTAGTTCTCGTAGAGCGCGTTGTTGGTGTGCTCCTTGAGCTCCTCCATGTGTGTGCGGATGAGCATTTGGCGGAGCTTGACGAAGTCGCAGTGCTCCTCGTTGTCAACCTCAATGATACCCCACGGGTAGCGACGTCCGCGGACCTTGCGGCCATCGGCGCTGGTGATCTCGGCGGTAGCTCCGACAACTGCGAAAGGAACCTTGGACAGGATCTCGTTGTTCTCGGCAATCGTCTCGTCGTCATCGAGCTCGTAACGGGGACCCTCGAAGATCTGGATGTCGTGGTACTTGATATCGGCAAGAATCTAAGAAAAGTCAGTTAAGCCCGCATACCAAACAGGAGTACAGAAAATCGTACCCTGGCCTTGAAAGCAGCAATCTCCTCGTCGGTCAAGGTATCAGCCTTGGCGATGACTGGGATAAGGTTGACCTTGGTATGAAGTCTGCGCATAACCTCGATATCAAGTGGCTTGAGGGAGTGGCCAGTTGGCTGGAGGAAGTAGACGCAAGCGTGGACGCGGTTGTCAACGATGTTCATGCGGTTGACCTTGTTCTCGGCATCGAGGTAGGCGTCGAAGCGCTGCTCGATGTTATCGACGATTGGTCTCCATGACTCGTCGTTGTTGACGAAGTCACCAAATCCAGGGGTATCAACAACAGTCAGGCGAAGACGGACGCCGTTCTCCTCAATATCCGCGCTGAGAGACTGGATGGCAACAGTCTTGGGGATGATGTCGAGGCTGGGTCCCTTGCGCTCGCGGGGAGGGTATAACGAGGTGTTGAAGAGAGTGTTGACCAGAGTCGACTTTCCGAGACCAGATTCACCTAGAAATTATTAGCTGGTCGTTCCGATCCTCGTATTTCCCTGCGAGGGTCAACCTACCAACAACCATAACGTTGAAGTTGAAGCCCTTGCGGACACTCTTGCGGTGCCATTGATTCGGCAGGTTTGCGAATCCGACGTAACCAGTGAGCTTTCTGCGGACAATGTTGCGCATGTCGCTGGCCTGCTGTGCGGCAATCTTTGGGTCGCTGGATGCGACGCTCTGAGGCATCTCAAGCGGAGGAGAAGCTCCCTTGGGAGTCGTGGCAGCTTCCATACCGAAGGTAGCAATTGAGCAGTATGAAGTTCGAGTTTGAGGTTATTTCAGCAACGTGGCTGTTGGGGTTGTCGATGCTGGAATTGTTGAACGAACGAGTTGCTTTCGACTTTTTGGCTTGAGAGTTGGAAAGGGCGCTCGGAAATGATGTGGATGTCGCGTATTGGGAAAGGAGAGGTCCCTTGGTCCCCTGGTTCTTTGGTTGCTGTGGTCTGCCGTAGTTTGTACCTTTTAGGAGGGATTGTCACACTAATTTCCCTGTTGTCCATACAAAATGATAGGTACCACGGCGCCCAAAGCGGTAAGGCGCGGTCGCGGGTGAAAAGGGGAAATGGCTCTAGGCACGTTTAGGGAAGTAAATCGGCCGTCACGTGGTTTCACCAAACAGACCGGGGAAATGCTTGGTTGGCCAAGGAAATATCCGGAAAGGGAAAGGGGAGGAAGTTGTGAGACGGTGGATAGAAGATATATTGTTATTATTTTATAGGTGAAGGTGAAGGTTCAGGCGATAGCTATGACAGGTGGGTTTCTATTTATGATTTTAATATATATTTTATTTCTTTTTAGAGGCTAAAGATACGGTTCCTATTAAAAACATCCGATTTCTTAGAGGAAGCTGTGATACGGTAGATAGATATATTACCATTTAAAAAGATCTACGCGCTATTGTAAGTAAAGGTTTGGGTGATATTAATTATAAATGATTTGCTGCGAATTGTATTAGTAATGTTCTTGTTTTTGTCTCGGATAGCTAAGGTACAGACCCTTATATGAATATTATAAGTATATTTATCAAATACTATTATTCTCGATCGAATATTCATGTTTAAATCAGCCTTTAAATTCCCTAGAAAATAGTACCATTATCAATTATTATTATTTCATCTCTAAATCCGCTTTTAAATTCCCAAAAAGACAATACCGTTATCAAATATTATTATTCTTACTCGAATATTCATCCTAAACCCACTTCTAAGTTCTCCAGCAAATAGTATTGTTATAAAATATTATTATTCTCTTAAATACGCATCTTCAAATCCGCAGTTAAATTCCCTAGAAAATAGTTTTGTTATGGAATATTATTATTCTCTCTCGAATATTCTCTAAATCTGCTTTCAACCCCCTAGAAAATAAATGCTATGCTAATATCCCCCCCCCAAACTCCAAAAACACGCCCATCCACTCTATTATATATTATTCCTCTCACTTCCCTTCTTCCAACCCCCTTCCATGCATAACCCCCTATCATACACGCTCAGTGCATCGCAAACTTAGATCTCGCCCTCAACTTCGCCCCAAAAACCCAAAGCAAGAAAATCCCCACAATCCCAATAACACTCAGTCCACCCAAAAGACTCGTCCCCCTCGCGACGCCCAAATTCTTATAAAGCGGATGCGCATACAAGATCGACGCACACGCCGACGCGCTCCTCAAGAAATCGTTGCCCGCGAACAAACTAGCCGCGTACTGCGGGTACGACATCGGGACGTAGGTGAAGATGCATTGCATGACGATGAAGACGCTGGCGCCGTAGAGGACGATGCCGATGGTGGGGGCGACCCAGGTGATGTCTGGTCGTGCGGTCCACTGATAGAGATTAACTTGTGTTCTAGTTTCTGGGATGGAAAGGGGGACTTACAGCAAAGATGAATAAACCGATAGTAGGACCAAAGCAGGCAAACAGGGCAGGGACGAGATTATGCTCCTGTGCGCGCAGACCGTTCTTGATGATGTCGGGGATGTGGTAGAAGTACAGGTATGCGGAGTAGATGGCGACGCCGATGAGGCAGGCGATGAGGATACAGGTGAAGAGGACGCCGATGATGCCGAGGCTGAAGCCGTAGTAGACTGGGTAGACGAGGGGAAAGACTTCGAAGAAGGAGTAGTAGATTCCGTAGATAATGGCCGTGTAAACGTTGACGAAGAGGATAGCGGGGTCCTTGATGGTAATCTCCATCGGCTTAATGAGAGCATCGACAACAACCTCCCGTGTAGAGAGCTTGGCCTGGTCAATCTCGCTCTGTGCCATGAGTCTCGACTCCCCAGTGAGCTTCCTCAGACGCTCAGCTCTGCGGAGAAGAATATTCGGCGTGCTAGTCTCTGGAAGCACCGAGAACATAAGAAGCAGAACCGGGCTCGCAGCCCAGATGATCTCGTACAAACTCCACCGCCACGACTCAGCTCCAACCGCGAATCCACTGAGAAGCGGACCGAGAGCCGGACCGCAGTAGGCTGCTGAGACCCAGGCGATGAGAGCGTAGGGGAGGTAGAGCATTGATACCATGTCGCTCATCGTCGCGGCCCCGGTTGCCAGACAGGGGGATCCGAAGAAGCCCTGGAGGAAGCGGAGGACGAGGAGGCCGGCGAAGTTGTTAACCAGCGCGGTGGGGATGGAGATAATAGTGAAGATGAACATGGTGACTAGGTAGACAGGCGACCTTCCGATCCTTGGGATCTCGCTGAGGGGCGAGAAGACGAGGGGGCCCATGCCGTAGGCGAGGACGTAGAGAGATAGGGGTAGCGAGGCGTCGACTTCGGAGATGTTGAATTTCTCGATCACCTGCGGGATGCTGGAGGTGTAGATGGCGGAGCCTGTGTAGACGACGAATGTGTAGAGGCAGATCAGGAGGCCGACCCAGGATTTCTTGCCCATGGACCAGTTCTGTGGGTTTGCTGGGTCGTCGGTGGAGTACCAGTCGACGAGGACTAGGCCGTCGGCTGTCTTGACGGGGTAGATGGGCTTGCTTGCAACGCGCTCGATGGCGTCTTGGATCTCGGTCTCTAGGCGTTCTTGTGTGAACTGGCGGGTATCTTGGCGGGAAAGGGTGCGTTGGAGTTCGATGTCCTGGTTGAAGGATTCGGAATCCGGAGTGGAATTCGACTCATCGCTCTCCTTTTTGAGTTGCTTTCGGCTGATGGGCCGTTCGATTGGGGCTTTCTCTGATCTGAGGACGGCATTATATGATTCTGGTAACTCGAAGCCGGGAAGCTCTTCGGGATAGGGGAAGAGACGGTTCTTTGTGGCCCATCTTAGGAACTGGCCCAAAGGGGCCTCTCGTATAAGGTCCGACATGATAGTCGTGTATATGTTGGGTATAATGCAATGAAGAAATTATTAGGTAGAGTTGTAGCAAATGCTACTAGCTCAAGAGTTTGCAGGGAGGCAAAGGGAGACGGAATGAGAATTGGAGCGAGCTTGAGAATGAAAAGAAGAGAGACATGATATGGCAATGAGACTGATATATATACAAACCTTTCTCACCGTTTCTGCATTCCACGGACATAGATTACTAAACTCCAGCCTTACAGTCTGATACACATCAAACTCTGAGTGGAGATAATGCGTGTCTCCGTAGCTGTGCTTTCGATGTCGTTCGGCTGACCAATACACATCTTGAAAAGGAGATGATGCCATGTGGTGGTAGAGCTAACAGTTAGTGGGTTGGCGGCTGACGGTACGTTAAAATCTACCGGGTCTGCAGCATCTGTATCATCTATTGGACAGTTTCAAGATGACAGTGGATAGAGAGTGAGGGTGAGTCAGGGAGACTAGGGAGGAAGAGAACCGTGTCGGCGGACGGGTTTAATGGGTGGGTTTAGTGATCAGAGTTAAATTTGGGTAGTGGAAAAGTTAATACCCATGGCTTGCTCGGTTTAGCCTATGGTCGAGTAGGGGAGTTAGGGTCCAACAGGGCCAAAAGTGAGAGATAGTGGCTGACAAATGGAGGATTCTATACGTACGAGTAACTACGTAGTGAGAGCTAGAAGCGGGCATACAAGAATGTTATAGGGTACTATAAAAATACTGTACAAGATAACCTGGTAGAGCGAATCAAGATGGTTGGATCTTGATCACTGATCACTAATGCACGCTTCGTCAGTGAGAATCCTTAAGTCCGTTAATAAGCAGAGTCTGCATTTGACGACCAAACGACTAGCCACTAGGAAAAAAAACTAGATGACGACAATGGTACGAAGAGTACATTTGACACAGTGTATACGTCGCCAGAAATAGAGGTATTGATACCGAAATGCCTCAAAATTGGGACCGCTTGTCGTTGGTTTTAGAGGACGCCCGGACCACTCTTAATAATACAACGGAGTCTAGACCTAATTAAGACTAGCGTGATATCTATTCTTTCCGCCGTTGCGGTGGGGGGATCTTTAGAGTCCCGGAATCTTTGTTCCTCCCGCTCCGTCCTCAGCCTTTTCAGCCTTGCGCTAGTCTCCTTCCTCCTGTCAACTATCAACCACTCCCAGCCCTCTGTATCTCGGCGGGGCAAGAAGCTCACCTACGAACAGCAGAACGGATTAGCAAACCTCCCCTGCTTACCCCCCCATTGCTCCCCAGGATGGGCAGAACCGACGAGTTCCTCTCGTCCATCTCTGGCTTCCTCCGCGCCAAAGATGCAGCCCAGCTCCAGCAATGGCTCGTGGTTGAGCCACCCCTCGCCGATGCTTACGCCGAGCTATCCAGGGAGCTCAAGACCATTGACATTGAGAAGGCGGTGGACAAGATTGATAATGACGATGCATGGCCGGGTTTCATTGCCTTCATGAACCTCTACCTCGACTTCTTCCGCCGCGTCGATTATGGGAACCTCATGGAGACACATACCCAGCTGAGCGCCCTTGTCAAGTGAGCCCTGCCCCCGAACCCCAACAGAAGACTGCAAGGCTGACATATACGAATAGCTCTTGCATCACAGCCATGTCGAATGCGTCATACGGCATCCTTGTCCTTCCCACCACCATCCAATTATGCACAGCGCTAGCCACACTAGCTATGACTCTTGATAAGCGGCCCGATTTGACACGTCGCTGGCGCGCGGCGGACGACGGCGAGGCTCGGAAGACGTTGGTTGAGGGCACGGCTGAGTCGATACAGCGGGCTTTCACTATCTGTCTCACGGAGCGGACTTCAAACCGCGATGGCGTCAAGGATGGAAAGCCAGAGGGGAAGAAGGTCGGCATCTACTCCTTCGCCAACCTCGTCCTCAAGCTCCTGTTTCGTGTGAGTACCCCCCGGACCTATCTTCTCGAATCACATGCTAACCCTCCACGCAGTGTCAAAAGACCCCACTCGCCGAACAGCTCTTCACAAACATCATGCAGAACTCCCCACCACTAGCACTATACCCCGCCTCCCACCGCGTCACCTACCTCTACTACCTAGGTCGCTTCCTTTTCTCCAACACCCACTTCTACAAAGCCCACCTCTGCCTCCAATCCGCCTACACACAATGCCACGCCCAATGCATCAACCAACGCCGCAACATCCTCATCTACCTCATCACCACATCCCTCATCCTCGGCCGGCACCCCTCACCAGCTCTCCTCGCCCGCCCTGAGGCTTCCACACTCCTTCCTAAGTTCGCACCCGTAATAGCCGCAATGCGCACCGGCAACCTCGCCGCCTACCGTCACGCCCTCGGCCCCACATCACCGAACCACGCGTGGTTCCTTCGCAGGGGCATCCTCCTCCCCCTCCTCTACCGCGGAGACACTCTCGTGTGGCGCTCTCTGGCCCGCCGCTCCTTCCTCCTCACTTACGACGCCCCCGCCGATACGACAACCCGAAAAGCGCCAACGCTAGACCTACACGCCCTCCTCCTCGCCGCGCAACTCTGCCAGCGCACACTCGAAGCCGAAGCAGCGCGGCAGGGGCGCAAGTTACAGCCGAGCATGGGCCTGATCAGCGGATCGCTGATGCCTGATATCTCCGACGTGGAAGCTATAGTTGCGAGTCTTGTGGCGCAGGACCTACTGCATGGGTTTGTCAGTCATAGTCTAAAGCGTTTTGCGATTTTGGGGGCGAAGCAGAAGGGTGGACCGCTGGCAGCGGGGTTTCCGGCGCCGTGGGGGGTTATGAAGGCGAGGGCTGCGACGGCGACGGCGGGGGATGTGCCGGGGTGGGTTAGTGGGAGTGGTGGGAAGACGCAGGTTAGGATGGGAGGGGTGGTGAATTTGAGTGGGATTGCGAGGCCGGTGGGGAGTGGATGAGGGGGGGGGGATGATAAAATTAGTGTATGATAGCGTGATGATGTGAAATGAGATACCCGGAATATATATGTCGATATAGGCAGCCATTTTTTTTTGGAAGATAGTAGGGTCTGCTCCTTCCGTAATTATGATCCATGTATCCTTCCTTCATTTCTTCCTTTTGTCGGATACGTAGAAGAAGCTCTATGAGCAGGTAGAATCCTAGGCGAGCGCAGAGAAGCTTGAAGAGCTCGCCGCCGACGCTGGCAAAGCATCGCAAAAGCTTGCGAGTAGCGTCGAGAAGTTAGCAAGCGCAGAGAAGCTTCAAGAGGTTGCCGCCGACGCGGGCAGCAGGGCTCTACCGACAGCATTGCTATGTTGACAACAGAATTCTGTCGACAGCAGGGCTCTACTGACAACGAGAGGCCTGCTGTCGACAGAATTCTGTTGTCGACATAGAAATGCTGTCGATAGAATCATCTCCTACAAGCTCGCGCACTAAGCACCCAGCGATGCAGAACTCGTGTGTATATTCCCGCTATAAGCCATCCCTAGCCCGAGCTGCGAATGATGCAATCATGACTATGCTTAGTTAGCGACAGATGAGGCTAAGATGGAGATGGAGGTGGTCTCTCTGGATAAGGCTGAGTTATGCGATATCTAATAACTTTGAGCACCTATTCTACAAGGAGTAAACAACAGTGTCTGAAGCCAACAGCAATCGCGCAGCTCACTTTTAGGAATATGAAGCACTTCTCCACTACTGGAACTGAGTATCTTGGCGAAGTTTGAGCTGGCTTTATCAAATTACGATTAAACAGCCCCATATAATTACGCTCGAGCTCAATTAGCACATGGAGACCCATCTAAACCACCCCTCCCATCACACACATCAACTTCCAAACTTCCACCTTCATATCAACAAACTCCTGGACCCCAAACCCTCGCATACAAACTATATGCAAGCCTCGGACCTGCGGAATCCTTCTCAAGGACCTATATTTTGCCGATCCGCACCCTAATTACCAGCCATCCCCAAGAAAATGAGGGGAAGAGCTTACCGTAATTGACCTAAAGGCACGGCTAAATGCGCAGGCATCGGCGTCGGTGGACTGTTGCCGTTGGGCAATATATATCGGCAACGACGATTGGTCAATGGAGGCGTACCTACCTTGCCTCCGCGGTGCCTATATGAAGGATAATCTTTCGATTCCAGATTGCGGCTAGATTATTATAGCATCGTGCGCTGTGGGACCGGTGGAAATGGGGGATTTGCTTCCGAGATTCTTGGATTGCCTGTGGTAGGTTGGGAAATATGTTATGTGCGGCTACTGATGTAGGGATTATGGCGGGATAAGGTGAGGAAGGGTATTTACTTTATATATCGTTGCGTCCCCTCATTTCCTGTTTACTGTTGTTCTGCTCGTCAGCGTCGTATCTGTCACATACTCCTCTCACAGTCAATTCCTGGAGTTCGGCTTTCCTGTACTCGTTTCTGTCAAGTTTTGTTCTAGAAAAGGCTTTACAAGATGCAATTGCTCGCTCTTCTGGCCGCGGCCACAGGCGCTGCCGCCGTGGCGATGCCCAATGGCGGCGGTGTTCTCGGTGGCGTCGGCAATGGCCACAGCAAGGGATGGGGACTGAAGAAGTTCAAGAACTTGGTGGCGTTTGGAGACAGGTATGTGAGGCCGTTTTGAAGCAGCAATTGAACAGCAAACTAATGGGCATCGCAGCTACACCGACGAGTCTCGTCTTGGTTATTTCCAGCAGCATAACGGACAAGGCCCACCCGCAGGAACTCTCCTTCCCGGAAGCACTTCCACGCCCGGAGGCGGCATCACATGGCCGCGATGGGTATCGATATACAGCGGAGCTTCGCTGTTTAACTACGCTGTCTCCGGAGCAGTCTGCAGCAACAAGATGATCTACCGTTACCTCGACTCCATCAGCGGGCCCTTCCCTGACGTGCTCGGCTATGAGGTGCCTGCCTACCAAGCAGACGCAGCGTATATCAACAAGAAGACGCGTACGAACACGCTTTTCACGGATCGGAAGGCTGATAACACTGTTTACAGCATGTGGATTGGCACGAACGATCTCGGGAACGATGCGCTGATCACAGATAGCACACTCCACGGTGAGACGATCAGTGATTATATCGACTGCATCTTCGAGGCGTTCGATGGGATTTACAAGACCGGAGCTAGGTACTTCGTCCTCATGAACGTCGCCCCCCTGGACCTCTCCCCGCTGTACGGACTCCCCTCCGCCGGTGGACTGGCATCAAGCCACTACTGGCCCAACAAGCCCGCGAACACCACCGAGCAGAGCGGGAAGATGAAGGAGTACTCGAGCACTGTGAACTCTGTTCTCGAATACCGCGTGCCATTTGAGGTGAAGCTGGCGAATCGCTACCCAGGGGCTCACTTCGCTATCTTCGATACGCACCGCTTGATCACGGATATCTATAATAACCCGGCCACTTACCTCAATGGGACGGGGACGCTGCATGTCAATGAGCCGTACCAGGTTTGCCCGCCGGCTGGGGGGAATTGTGTGAATTCTGAGGAGAGCTTGGATAACTTCTTGTGGTTTGATGAGTTGCATCCTAGTGAGAGGACTGATCAGGTTATTGCGACGCATTTCCTTGATGTTGTTAAGGGGACGTCAAAGTTTGCTACGTACTGGTAGAATATTCAAAATAAGTTGCTGCTGGTATAGGGGTGGCCTATTCTATCTTGTATGACATTTAGCAATCTAGATAATGTAAATAAATTAATGACTAGATCATGATAACCCCGTTGCTTCTGCCCTGTTTGTCGTGGCATAGTGATGACCCAGTCTATATTGTATGTCATTTGGCAATCTAGACAGTGTAAATAAATTAATGAGCCATATTCCAAATAAGAGTTTCTTGACATAGTGATGAGCCAGTCTATATTGTATGGCATCTAACAATCTAGATAATGTAAATGAGAGATTCCTTAAATACTGGTGACCCTGCTCATCTTGTATACCATTTAGCAATCAGATAATGCAAATGAATTAATGACCAGATCATGCAAATCTCATCGCTGTGTTTGTCCTCCAATATCAGCCTCAGCCAACATCGGTCACGTGCACCGCCTTTGTCTCTGACGGATTATTAAGTATCTTGAATCTAGCTCCCGTCAGTCGCAATAGACACATCATTTTCTCCTTTTCTCCTTTTTTGCCTTTATATCCTTATATCTCCTTGTATATATATCCCCCGTATACCTCTGACAGAAGGCGAAACGCCATTGAAGTGTCGGTGAAGCTGTATTCCCAGACAATATTGGCAATTATAGGCCTTTGTAGCCTTGTGCATGAGTCGAGCGCCCGTCCTACCGTGACATATTCTCCGAAAACAGAGCGACAAAGCGACAGAGCGAGTCTAGTGAGATGCCGCAGAGTTCTACACCAGTAATCAGCTTCATCTACTTACAATTCCAGATCCCTTCGCAATATACTCAATAAGTACTGTATATCGCATGCAGCCTATCATACCCAGCGCATATTCGAATACGCCACCAGATACGACAAACTAAAGCCGCCATCTTCCCCGTCGACGCGCTATTCGACTCTCCGCAGCCACTCACGGCCTTATATCCTTGATATCTTCTCCTTCCGTACTGTACAATACAGTGCTGTCACAGGAAGGCTGCATCTCGGTCGCGTCCGTCGCGTCCCTTGATCCCTACCGATCCCTACCCCCAGCAGTCGCACCTTACCCACTCCGCACAAGCACGCATTGAAACATTTCGAAGCGGCGAAGATCCCTCGCATAACACGATAAACCCTCGACTCCAAGACACATCCTGACAACCAACATCGAGAGTTTCGAGTAACCATAGCCACTCATCGAGCGCAGACCCTCTTCATACCCTTCCCCCTCCTCTCGGTCCCCCCCTTCCCCCTCCAGGCCCCCACACCACCCCCCCCTCCCCTGGGCCAAGGCCATGTACGCACCACAGTATCCCTTTGCGCCGGGTCCCAATGCGCCTCCTCCACCGCAACAACAACAGCCTGGTTACATCCAGAATCCCGCGGCACAGCAGCAGCAGATGATGTATAACCCTCAGCAGCAGGGCCAACAATTCGGGATGCCGATGGGTGGCGTCCCGCAGCAGCCGCCTTACGGCCCCGGTATGAATGGGCCCAATATGGTGCCAGGCCCAAACGCGGTGATGATGCAGAATGGCGGCGCCGGAATGCCGCATATGGGCCCGGGAAACAATGGCATTGGTGAGTTCTTGATATGTTTGCTTTGATCGTCTTTGACTGCGCACCGCTAGCGGGCAGACGGCTGCGCGTGTGCTGTATCGAGATGTTGGTCTTGCACTTCATGCGCGCCTTCCGTGCCGATCCAAGCACACCGGTCTAATTTTCATGGCATCGGGTCGCTCCTGCCTTTGTTATTTAAGTACTACTGTTGCCAATGGTCAGCCACTAACGTGGACACGATAGCATCCTACCAAACGCCCTACAACAACTCCCCATACGGCATGCAAGGTGGCCCGCCATCCTCTGGTCCTCAACAACAAGCTTTCCTCCCCGCTGGCGCGAATGCTGCACAGTCAGGCTTCGTCCAGCCAGCGCCGCAGCAGCGCATGCACACTCCTCAGCAACATCAACAACAGCAGATGGGCACGCCGCAGCGCGGTTCTTCATACGGTCCTGTCCCGGGACAACACACGACACCACCACATACACAGGCTCCGTCACAATTTATGCCTCCTCAGCCAGGAACACCGCAGATGGCGATGCCTATGCAACAGCAGCAGGGGCTCGCGCAGCAGGGACAACAAGCGCAACAGCCTGTACAACAGCCACAATCGGCGGGGCAGACGCCCGTGACACCGTCGTTCCCTACGTCGGCTGGGGGGATGGCTACACCGTTAAGCCCTGGGTCTGAAGTGAGAGAGAAGGATAGGGTTAGCCTGCTGCTGGATATTAACAGGGTGCTGTTGATGGAGGTGATGAGGCTACAAGCTGTGCAGGCGGAAGCAAAAGCGAAGGTGGAATCAGACGACAAGAAGGACGACAAGGAGGATGGGGCTGAGGGAGCGAAGGATAAAGAGAAGAAGGACGATAAGGCGAAGGAGAAGCCTAAGATTGATCCTGTTACGGGCAAGGAGTTTGTGGAGTATGTTCTGTTGATATGAATATGGAAGGCAACTGCTAACGATCGACAGATGCATGCGGAGGATACAATATAACCTGGCATATCTCGCCGCCATCGCTGACCGGTCACACAAACCATCATCACAGATCCCACCCCACCCAGCCGTCATCTCAGCGCCGTCTCTCACCCCTCTCCCCAAACCCGCCACCTCGTCGCCAACCTCCCCCAATGGCGCCGTCAAAAGCACCGATGGCGCCGCAGACGCCGAAGTCGAAGACCGCGCCGAGACCTTGAAGAAACAATACAAGCGCCTCCAAGAGCTCTTCCCCGGCGTGGACCCCAAGAAAGAACCGACCGTGCAGCCCGCACAAGCGGCTCAAAAGCAGCAGCAGCAGCAACAACAACAACAGCCAGGTCCGTCAGCTCCGCAAAAGGCCCAAATGGCTGCCCAGATGCAAGCGCAGCTCGCGCAGATGAGCCAGGCGCAGAAGATGGAATTCATGCAGCGGAAAGGAATGCAGCAGATGGCGCAACAGCAGCCGAATGCGCAGCAGCAACAACAACTGCAGCGGATGAGGCAGCAACAGCAACAGATGCAGCAGCAGCAACCTGGATGGCGGCCAGGACAGCCGGGGGGCCCGCAGCAGGGAGGGCCGCAGCGGATGGGGCCGGGGATGCAGCAGGGTGGTGGGATGGATATGAGCGGGATGGGGATGGGATCACCGTCAGTGCAGGGGATGCAGCAACCGGGCCAGCAGTGAGCGACGAGTGTAGCCGCTCCAATATCGATGGGCGCAAGGGCAAGAATAATCGCAGCAAGGACAGGATTGTCTAAAACGGTGTACGAGGGGAAGCAGCTTAACGGTGTCTGGCATCAGGAGCATGGCGTCTTTATAAAAAAAGGAGGAAAATGGAGATTTGGGGGTGGGGGGGGGGTTCATAATTTATTTTTGAGTCGAGGGGAAGGGACTTTTATACCTTGGACAGAACGCGCGAGTTGGGGGTTGGCTATCTGTACAATTTATTGGATTCAGGTGCTGGAATAGGCGCTGGGTTTGTTTGGAGATGTGTGTATAGCAATGTGTTTAAAGCGTGGAACTGGGTTGCCCGTTCAAAATCTTACTGGGGAGTTCGTCGTGGTAGTGAAGAGTATGATAAGTGTTCATGGGAGCCGTGCCTGTGTTTCAAAGGCTAGTTGCACTGGCATTTGAAGCGCAGGCTCGGCACCATCAACAAGTATCGCATATTTTCCCCCATCGCGACGACAACCTCTACCTGAATGTACTGTAACTCGGCTCAGCCTTTGATTTTGCTAGCTGTGACTGACCAGAGACTGTTGGCTACCCACGTCACTGGACGCACTGCATAGCTCCCCGGCCTTGAGGCCGCCGGCACAGAGAATGAGATCTATTTATTTATTTATTGTCTGTCCAAGGAAACTCAAGTTATCGCCTCGAATTTGTGGTTGTGTGTGTCTTCCGAGTTGGCTACGCACTTGGAGCAGTAGTCAAACTCATCGCACTCAGTGCACTTGTGCCAGACTTTGTAGATGGTCTGTGGAATGTCAGCGTGTTGTTTAGATTATTTACTCCTTCTTGTTCTACGGATGGCAGCACCAATAGACAGGATGATTACGGGGAAGGCGGTGTCACTTACAGAGTTACAGCCGTCGCAGATGCGGTTGAATTCCTTCCCCTTATTCCCATCCGAGTTCTCAATATCAACAATCCACCCCATCCTCCCCGTCTTTGGAATCACCCCGTTATAAACCGAGATCCGCCAGGGGTAGTCATCCACCAGCAAGCCGTCCAGCCGCGTTCCCCGGAACAAGTACATGCTACGCGCCGGCGCATCCATCCACGACGGATGTAGCCTCCCCGCCTCGGAGTAGATATCCAAGTTCCCAATCTCCGGACTGAAGATGCTCCCCCCGACCTGGACGCGGGGGTTAAATACCCCATCAAGGCCAACCTTGATCGTAGTCGTCCTGCCCCCCTCGCGTAGAAGAATCGCCCCGGCCGTCCCGCTATCCCCGATCTTAAGCTCAAAGAGACGTTTCTCGTCGTCCCATTCTCCGCGCGTGATGACCTCCGATAACGACTCATCCTCATTGGTTGTCGTCTGATACCGCTTATTGCTCTTTTGCTGCCCCTTTATCTTCGGCGCCGACTTCATCGGCGACAGGAGCGTGCGCATCCAGAAGCCGTAGAAGCGCTCTTCGGCTAGGACGGAGCCCCAGAGGCGCTGTTGCACGAAGACGTCGCGGTAAGTGCACTTCTGCGCTAGGCCGTCGCGGAAGACACACAAGTCTTCGCCCCCTAACATGACGCGGGCGTAGCGATTATCCCTAGGCAGCAGGCGAAGGAAGATGCCTAGACGCTGTCCGTCGCGAGCGCAGTCCAGGGCGGCGAGGTAGGTGTCCATAGCCCACGGTACCATGGGGAGATTGATCTTCAGGCCCAAGTTGGAGATAGCGTAGGGCTCACGGTTCCAGCGGGAGTGGGTAGCGTCGATGGATGCACAGGTTGCGAAGTCGGCGGGGGAGCGCGCGAGGAGGCCGCGAGCTGCGGGACTGGGGGAGGACCAGGCGAAGAGGGAGTGGTCGTCGGAGTTCTTCATGATTTCCTCTTGCAGGCGGATGAAGGCGCGGTCACCTTCGCCGTAGAGCATGGGCATGTTGACGTTGAAGATACCGAGGAGGCAGTATGCCATATCTTCTTTCCGGGTGGTCATGCGGCGCGAAGCCCACGACATGCGGCGCGCGATGCTGTAGTCGTCTAGGTTCGCGCCGGACTGCAGCATGGAGACGTCGATCTGGGTTACTGCTGCGATAGCGACGCGGAGGGAGGCTTTAGTTCCAATCTCAATCCAGGAGGTGTTGTAGAAGGTGACATGCTCGGGGGCGACAAGTTCCTGGAGCGTCCAGCCGCGGGAGAACCACATGCTTTTTGCGAAAGCGTCTTCGCCGGGACTGGAGAGGATATCGTCTACAGCAATGTCGTTGAGGAAGGCGTAGCAGATCTCAGCTTCGGCGTACCACCGGTACATGGAGTTGATGGCCTCGGAGAGCTCAGCGCTGCTGGTCTTGTCGATGCAGCAGGTGTCAATCCAGGCGTGGGATAGGCCGTCGGAGAGAGCTTGCTTGCAGGTGCTTAGGATTTTTTGGTAGCCGGGCTTGTTGGTACAGCTCTCCGCTTGCATTTCCTGCAGCGTGACTTCGCCATCGAGCCAGCGGTGGGAGAGGATGGCATATTTGGGAGCGTGGCCGTCGAAGAACTCCTCTATGCGGAGGGTTTTGGTGTTTATGAGGCGCATTTCAGACTTTGGAGCCTGTTGGTGGGGGAGAAGGCGAGAGATGCGGACACGTGAGAGTAAAGGAAAGGAAATCTTAGAGTGAGATATATTTTATGGTTTTTGAGGTTAAGGACGACACCTGAGCGAGTCTGGATATACTTTTCAAGCATTGACCATTCAGATCTACCATCTACCCCGCCATGTGATATCCAGTAATCCGGTTGGAATATTACACCGCTTCGGGACTTGGCAGGGGCCGATCCGTGGGTTTTCATTTTTAGCTGCGGCAGGCCCGTCTACACGCGTTGCCCGATTAGGAGGGCGCCAAATGCCGAGTCTGAGATTAAAAATTTTATAATTTCTATATTGAAGTTGTACCGTACCATAATGCCACTTCCTAGGGTTCGAGCTGCTGGATTTGGCAGGGCGCAGTTGCTGCTTTACGCACTACGTCTTGCTAAATCCTCGATCCGCAGACAGGTGATCAGATCGCAGCCCCCATCGGCCACAGACCGTTCAAGGTCTCCGTTTCTGCTTCCTGTGTCTACTTTTTGCCTTCCGTTTTTCTCTTTTCTGCTCGTCCTAACCCTTGAATTCACAGCCTTGTTCATAGAATCCTGCTGTATAGCGTACTCCTGGTGCTGCTCCTATAAGGCCACAGGCTAGGCATTACTAGCACGGAACACTTCGCCCTGCTCCTGTCGCGCCATCACCAGGCGTTTCTTATTCTGCTGCTCTAGTAGATTAAGCTGAATTTCGTAGGTTTGAATAGTTTTCTTAATCGTGTTCTTGAGATCCTAGTAACTGTTAACGATGTAGCCGTTAGGATAAGGTATATGTAAGATATCACCTCGTCAGGATAGCCTGGGGGGAACACCCTAAGGCTCTCCCGCCAAGGATCGATCCCACCGAGGTAGTAGGGTAGGTAGTATGGCGTTAATATTAATAGGTCTGCTGGTTCGAGGTCGGAGAAGGGGTGACGAGACGCCCAACTTTTCATCTCTAGAGCCTCGGTTACAGAGCTCTTTTCAGTCTCGTGAAGGCCGCACAGCTCGAGTGGTGGGCAAACTGGCCTGGTATTGACGGGTAGGATGGAGCTAGAAATCCTATGCTGCATCGCCTGTTGGAGTTCGTGCTTTTCTAAAGATGGAAGTGTCGACTCATCCTTTGAAACGTAAACCCTCGCATAACTGTTCGTCTTTTCAAATTGCAATCGCGCATGATAGTTGCTCGGTGAGCTCATCTCGCACTCCACAAGGGCTTTAAGTGAGTTACAGAGCTCGGAGATGGTGTGGCGGAGCGTCTATCTCTCCAGGTCTACAGGCTCATCAACTGAAGGTGACGGGGATTGTGGACCTAGGGCGGTAGATTCGCATGTAGCTAGGGCTACAGCGGTGGCAGCAGTGTTTTTGGTCTCGGAGGCTGACATTGCACCCTGCCTTATTATGCCGTCAGCGTGTCACTTGGTAACAACTGGACTGCTGGTGAGAGAAAGCGGTCTTCGTTTTGCGGTACGAGTAGAGGGGAAGAGAGGGCCTAAGTGTTAGTTGACGCAGTGTACAGTATGAGAGCGCCGTACATACAAGAATGTTGGAAGGAACCTACGAAGTCAACCAGCGACACCAACGAGAGACTCATCGAAGTATGTTATTTAAGGGTAAAGATATCCTTATCGGCTATTGGAAAGAATCCTGTGAATCTGAATTAATAAATAAACATGCCATTTACGGCGTCATCCAAGCTAACAACGTTTTTCGGGTCAAAGTCGTCCCTGAAACACGAGATGGAAGACCTGTCAAAGGAAACTATCCCAGTTTGCAGGGTGGCTGCTAGGTGAACTACGATACTTGCGTCTTACAGTTATATGTTAAAGACCTAATGCGGATGGAGATTGAGGAATACTGCCGCTTTTGTATTGCGGATCCGGATTACAACGACGGCCATCAAGGCGCAGCTATTGAGAGGCAAGAATAGCAGCTAAGAAAAAAGTCGCCGACGATGCTGCGACTATGCGTTTAAATGTCGAATATAACCGGAAGAAATGTGACCAGCGAGACCAAGGAGCTATTGCTAGAGCAATTGAAAGGCAGAAGAAAACGGGCGAGATTGTTGATACGTGCCCGAAAACGAAGGTCGATGCGAAACCCACTACAATCAGATCTAATAAGTAGCAGTTGGAGAGCTACTCTGATGTCGTACGATCCTTTGCTTAATCAGAGTTGTCTGTAAGCTTATTTGCAAAGAGTGCAAATATGCTGTATTGCCCAGCCATATTACCACGCATTTTGCAGGAAACCATATAATTTAGAGGTGGATAAGCGTTGCAAGATTGCAGACGAAGTGGCGGAAGTTAATGGGTTAATTACAAACGAGGAGGTTTTACATCGAAGTGAGTTCCTATTCCCAACAGCCACCAGAAAGCCGATTTAAGGATTAGCCGCACCTAAGAGAGGTATGTTGCAATGCATATTTGAGAGCACAAATGGGGCATGCGGGTATATATGTGACACAACAAGCCGGATGAAAGCGCATTGTATTGAAGAGCACAGGTGGGCCAGCACATGCAAGGGAGGACGCCGAAAGAAGCATGTGAAGTTTCCAAACAACGATATACCATGGCGGACGGACGTTAGTTGTCAGCAGTTTTTTAGTTCAGGGAGCATTCGCGAATGGGCATTATTCGTGGTTGGGTCGGAACATATGTAATAGGTTTCTTGCGTTTAGGAAGGTGAGCTTCAGGCTGAACACAACCAACCTTATTTCTTGGCTGGCGGTCAAGCTTTTGTCCAGTTAATCATTTAATCTAGTTATTGTGTCCATTACCAACAACACACTTGTTATGTACAAGCATAAATCACTAGCTACCCACTTACACCAACGCGGATATGTCTAACGCTCTAAGAGAACTCGTCTCTGGCTGCAATTTACTAGCCATGCAAACACGGGCAAAGAGTAATCCAATTGCTCCCAAAAGTCCATGGAGAGACCGATCAATACACGAAGAAGTTGAGAGACAAACCACAGTTGGTCTGCGTGAGCCGCATGATCTGTACTTCCAACAAGCAAACACCATATCAGGGCGCCAGGATAGGGAAACCAGTATCCGAGAAGGTTTGTCGTCTCTAGATGCTGTCTTAGAGTCTGGGCATTCAGCCCCTGAAGCAGCAAGATCGATGGGCCATTGACGGCGCCTCGGCAACAATACATCAGTGTTGCTTTTTCAAGACATTCATATACAGCATCATAACCTTCTATCTGCTTCTTAGACAATCCTTGGGCTATCGAGATCTCCTGTAGAGTAAGGTTACAGCCCGATGTAAAAGTATCAGCGTTATGAGTGGGGTCCTGCTGTCTGAAGCTCGCATCAAATACGTTGGCCAAGTTCCCTAAAATGGTAAACAACCGCAACATGCTGGCTTCGATAGGAACAGCCTGGTTTGATTTGGGTTTTCGCAGTGTAAAAAGTTCATTTCCTATATTAATTAAGAAGTGCGGAGGCCGCTTTGATGGCGTGCGATGAGGCGTTCTAACCTCCTGCTTGCTGTAGACGTAAAGCAGGCACTCGTAGCTACATCAAGTACCTAGTTAGCCTGTGTTCACTATCTCCTAGTACTAGTTCTGAAGGCCTTACACAACACTAAGCTTCCCAATCCATCCTTGCAAGCCATATTGCTGCATTCCTTCCCTCATATCAATCATTCTGGTAAACGCTTTGATGTGGTGCCTCAGTCCTACTATGTTTCCAGTTAAGCACTAAAGAATCAGCCTGTATAATGAAATGAAGTATAGGAATCATTGAGGAAATCGCACCTCGAACCCAGCTAGCGCTACAACCGCTCCTATGGTGCTATCAGATGTCATTCGAGCATTATCATCAAGCTCCGTATTGACTTGTTGTATAGCCTTCCCTCTATGAAAGTATGACACAGCACTCAGGGTTTGGCCACTTAGTAATTCAAGATTGGCAGATGCAATGAACATAGAGGCGTGAAACATGGCCTCGCTGGATTTCAAAGCTGGGAGCCAGCCTGTTCGCAGCGCGTTCTCTTTAGCATCATAGCTATCTCTAACTAGTCCGACTTCTAAACAAGAGATGTCTGTTTGAGTGGCACGCCGTCCATAAGCTTTAAACAGCAACAAAATGGTTGGCCTAGGAAATAACACTTACAGTTTTTAACCAGTTGGTCGAGATACTCCAGGGACGTATTTCTGGCAAACTCATGGGCTACCGTGCTCCGGAGACTAGCTAGATCAGGCACTTCTTCTTGCAGAAACCAACCAGGATAGGGTTGTGTTCGGGACCAATAGGTCGGGGCAGGTGAAGCCTTTCTGGTGCTATTGCCAACGCTGGGGCTGTGCCTTGCTACTGTCTGTACTCCGTAAATAAAGCGAAAAGTCTCTTGCTGAGGCGCAGAAGATTTTGTCGCTTCGGCTTGTGCAGCTTCTACTACTGCCTGATTCTTTCGTCTCTTCGCAGCTCTCCGCCGCGACTGCACGACATGCATCGCATGCGCGCGCACGAGAGTTTGGTTCTTTCGCTGCTGATCCTTTGATCCTTGGACGTTCACAAATTGTAGCTCCGACATTATTTATTTGGGAATGCAGATGGCGGATTAATAGCCTCAAGTATAGAATACGAATATGTCAACTGTGCAGTGCTTGGATTTGCCACGCTCTCGTCGGGAATAGCCACGTGACTTAACTCTTTTTGCCACTAGTGACTTCCTAGAATCATGATGGAATCGTATAATGGTCTCCACTGATAACACTATACTAAGATAGGCTATTGCTGTCGGGACCACTAATAATGAGTATAAGCATGACTCAGCACTAGCCTGATTACATTTTCTAACGCTATTAGGATTGGAGATAACATCGGGTTCCTTCTATTTGACAGTGTCAAGCTAGCACTTGAAAAGAGCCGCTCAACATCAGCTGGCATTGCTGGAATTGACAAAGCATTGATTCTCATCTGACACAAATCGGGGTACTTAGCCTGTTAGACTAGGCCTAGTCACTATTCAATTCAATTAGATCTTCAGCCAATCAACTTCCTAGAGCAGTATCGTACACTCGTCATCTATCGCAGCTTGTGTTTTTGCAATCACATTTGCCATAGCTTTAAGTCGCTGCTTATCAAAGATAGAAACACATTGATCGAAAGAGTTTAAATTTGAAGTTGCCTCCAACGGCGGTATCTCACCAAATGCCGAGCTCCCGTGGGGGTTCAGGTACTTCGCAGCTTGCCAGATGTTGGCGTTGTCTGCGAGAAAGTGTGTAGTTTTCACTCCCAGCCCCGATTCTGGTGCCAGTCGATCAGACTGGCGATTATACCGGCGATGAGTTCTGCCGACGAGACTGTCCCAGGTACTAGAACCTACAGAGTAGTCGTAATAGCTAGATCAATAGAGTATGCGTATTCTCACGATTCAATTGGGACCAGTCGATGCTTTAGCTCTCCTTTCAGACGCCCGATGCTAGCAAGACTCAATTTCTGAGTTCAACAGAAAGTCACTCCAAGTGAGTCTTCTTTTGTTTGCGGATTGCTTCGTGATATTGTTGTGCGGCAGCCTTCGCCTGCCTCTCGAGTTCAGGTACTGCGCGTCCAGCTCGATATTCAGCCCTAGCTTAACTCCTCCACTGTGTATAGAATCGGCGGAGCTAGGTTACGTCCGTTGTTCACCATCACTTTGCGTAGTGTCATGGTTTGGCCTTCGGAATGAGCGCATGAACTGCTTCTAGCACCGCCGTCATCAGTCGATCTTACAGCTGCTGTCAATTGACCCCGACTGGGAGAGTGTGAAGGGTAGGGCTAATCCTCGTTCTTATGTCGTTTCACGGGGAGTTTCTAAAAAGAAATCTCCCTTCAACAACTGGATCCGGGCTTACGTCGTCAAAACTATGTCTCAATTGCTCTATTGTCCGAGCCATGCTCGGTCGTATGTATGGCACACTTCACCACTGATAATGTCATTCTCATTGTTCTGCATGTTCCATTAGATGGCGAAAAGAGAGAACCGTGGCTGTGCAATCATGTCCCATAGTCAAGTGTCCTTCAATATTATGTGCTGACGAATATAACTAGTATTCTTGGCTAGACTACTCCCATCTCTTGGCATGAACACTACAAAATCATCTCTCTCAGGACTCATAATGAAACTTCCTTTCCGGGCGATCTAACTGAAGTTTAATATTATAGAAAGACAGCCAGAAAAGCCAGTTCGTTTCAAACCAGGTTTGAAATAGGCCCTTCTATCTCTACTATATTGCTCGGCTATTAGTAATGCCAACCAGCGGGAGCATCATCACGCCATGGAGTACAGTATGGACATATGTTGGTACAACAGCATTAGACCTGTGGTACTTTTCGTTGCTACATTCAAGTGATATTAAGAATGGTACTTCTAGAGTTTGCCATTTACTTCTATCGGCCTCACCCTGATATCCTAGAGTTTCTCTTAACATTTCTCTTAGAGATCCCACCGTACTTCTCGCTCGCGATCCTCGTCTTAGGTCGATGTGGAGTGGCCAGTAGCCAGTCTCTAGTACTCTGGTCACGGCTGTGCCTGGTGTGCCGAACCTCGCTCGTGTTCTCGTACCGTGTCACTAACCCTTTCTGTTCGCAGCCCATGTCTTCTCCTGCTCAAATAAATCCCGTGCCATGTCCGTGATGGTCTCCCTCAGCGGAGTGAAATTTATACCGAGCTCCTCCCTCGCCCTAGAGTTGTCCAGCAAGATAACTTTCTTTGGCGCAGCGCCTGGTACACCCTCTGGCGTCCGATCACGAACCTCGGGTAGCACTTCCCGTATGATATCCACAATCTGCTGGTATGTGCAAGGCCCGCCAGTGGTGAAATAACGATCGCTCTTATCTGCCTGGTACGCTCTGATATGAGCCTCAGCAACGTCACGGACATTGACAAAGTTGTAGAATATGTCATCTGGGACCTCTTTTTCTGCACCGCTCATCAGACGGTAGACATCAGCCACGGATGCCGGGATTTTAGTGGCAGATTCAAAGGGGATAGCAGATACCCCATACATCCATGGAGGCATTATGGTGGAGATAGAGAAGCTCGGATGGGCGGCTTGCACATACTCCCAAGCGGCCTTTTCTGCAAGTGCCTTCGAAGCACAATAGCATAGCGTACCATCTCCAGCCCTAGCTTCTTCATATGTCGTTGAGCACCAGTCGCGCTCGCTGTATGTATGGTTCGCTCTCGGCAGGTCATTCAGATCAAACATGGCAGCGAACGATGACGTGATGACAACTCTTTTGACTCTGGAGTTGTACTTCGTGATTGCCTTTAAGATCCCAGTGGTCCCATTGATAGACGGGATGAGGAGGTCGCGCTCGTTTTCCTCAACATGAAGTGCAAATGGGGCAGCGGTATGGATGACCTAGAAAGAACTATCAGCGACTTCAAAGATGCTGATTTGGACTGAGCTTACTCCATCAACATCCTTAACGGCCTCATCAAAAGCACTATCGACCGACAGGTCAGGTATGATTACGAAAGTAAGAGAAGCATGATGCTTTACGGAGATTGCACTCTTCACTCTATTTTCTGCTGCCTGGTTTCGTACTGTCGCACGGACGCTAAATCCATATTCAAGTAGTTGCTTCAGGATATGACCCGCCAGGTATCCCGATGCGCCCGTCAAGAGAATAGTTTCCTTCTCAGAGCTTCGAGGAGGGGCCATAGTGAGTAATGTAATAACTTGATAGATGGCCGTTGTGAGCGAAAATAACGCTGAGAGTGAGAAATCTTCATCTAAATATGTAGTCCTCTGCTTCAAGTTCGTTTGTTTGGCACCTTCTCACATGGCTTGTACGTCGCAGCAATTTATTGCTTTTCGCGCTAGTAGAAAGTACACTTTCCATAAAAGGGAGTACACTTGCCATAAATGGAAACTCAGGTAATGTAGAACCATAACCTAATAGGATTTATCTGTGGCCTATAGTAATTGCACAAAACACGATTGCTGTAATATTGTGGTTTTCCTAAGGATACACCGTGTGTCAGCATTCTGACCAAGCAAATAATTATTTCGTAACTTAGTGCATATTCTCAACAGAGTCTGGTAAAAAGTTTCATCATTCCCATTCAATTCCAATTATTTGGCGTAGCAAAATCCACTCTCTTTACCCATGAGTCCAATTCCGTACAATATCATCCAGGAGTGGGAACGACAAGTTCTGTCCATGGACGACCCTTTCATAGCTGGAATCCCGAAGATTGAACTCCACGTCCACATTGAGGGAACTTTAACTCCAGAGCTCCGATGGAAACTTGGCCAACGGAATGGCATTTCTCTCGGATCCAAAAGACTTCGGAAAGACTTCCACTCATTAGAGCAATTGAAACAATCTTACGATTTACTCCGACCTCGCAGCGTCAAAGGAAGTGGTCAAGTTTCTGCTTTTTTCGATGCCTATTACGGTGGAATGGAGGTGTTGAGAGTAGAAGAAGATTTTTACGATCTCGCTATGGATTATTTCCTTAAAGCGGCCGCGATGAAGGTTCGATATTGCGAGCCTTCCTTTGATCCACAAGCCCATACACGCCGAGGGGTCAAATTCGAGACCTTCATGAGAGGGTTCAGGAGAGCGCAAATTGATGCCGACCGAAAGCTCAATGTAAGAAATTCAAATCAGCTTTAGCTTTCCCTTCAGCGCTGACGGGACGTAAGGTCAAGTCGGCATGGATCATGTGTATGCTGCGAGATATGCCTCCACAGGCAGCAATAGAGCATTACGAGGCAGCTTTGCCATACAAAGACATGATTATGGGAGTTGGACTTGATTCAAACGAGTACGATCGGCCACCTTCACTATTTGAAGAACTGTATCTCCGTGCTCGTGCAGATGGATTCAAGCTCACGTGCCATTGTGATGTCACCCAAAAGAATACCCACGAGCATATTCGCCAAGTAGCTGAATCTGTCGGTGGTACTGGAGCTGAAAGATGTGATCATGGCTTAGACGCTGCAGAGTCCCCAGAACTAGTTTCTCTCATCAAGCACAAGGATCTCGGGGTAACACTGTGTCCATGGGCGTATGTGCGACACCATACTGAAGTAGACCTTTTCAAGCATATTCGAACCCTTTTCGATGCAGGTATCAAGGTTAACATTAGCAGTGATAGCCCGGCATATATGGAAAGCAATTGGGTCACTCAAAACCTTCTATTGGTCCGATTAAAGTGCAAGTTTACAAATGATGAGATAGCAAAAGTAGAGAAAAATGGAGTGGAGATCTGCTGGGCGCCCAAGGAGGTGAAGGAGAACATCCTCAGGGAGATAGAGAACTTTTGCAATTCTAGCAGTTAGCAGTCTCGGGGAAATATGCTGTATTTCATATCGAAATCTAAGCTAATATAACGAAGCTGACGTGACTTTGCTTGGGCATTTACTTAGGGAGAAGAGGTGAGGAAAGAGTGTAAAACGGATTTTCTGGGTAACTTACCTATTATCTTCCGAATCTTATCATCGTTCTTCAATTGTGACCAGTATGATGCAGCGAATTTTAAAATAAGAGCTCGTAGAGTCGAGTGAGTTGATGAGGTGGCTGGCGTGTTATCGCATGTAACAGCAATATGTCTGGCGAGTGTTTTTATAGCAATTTTGATTAACCCTCCACCCCAAGAGATGGTTCTTCACCCTCCATGCACCACCGCCGCTCACTTCTAGCATCTAGGAACTAACTCATTAGGTACGCCTGCATGGCTTCGCGGTCAGGTGACAGATACCCTACGCATTGCGCTTCCACCGTGACCGCAGTAATCAGTAATATGATCGATGATGCCTTGCCCCCATCCCGCCCAGCTGTCCAGACTCCTGCGAGAAGTCTGTCATCTTCTGAGGAGAGTCCACATGGATAACCCACCGGACAAACGGGTAATTAAATCCAATCCCTAGAGCGCTTGTCGCCACGATCGCTGGCTGCGCCAGCCTACTAAGCCATTCCGACAGGATCACTATGATGCACCACTCCCACTTCTATGTCCTCTGTGCAGGCTGACAAACAAGCTAATTGTCTAAGTTCTCCCAACACCCGGACTTTATATTTTACATCTACGATATAATACCCATCCGACAGGCTACAGTAGGGAATTACCTCCAGGTTAGGAAAGGTTATTGGTCTCAGGCTACCGCCGACATAGGTAAGTTGTCAGGTGATGGGATACACGTTGCTGCTGCTCAATTCAGGGACAAGGGCAAGATTTCGAACCCTATTGTTCGTACCCTCATTATCAATATGAGGATCATATTGTCTTTTAACCCAGAATCATATGGAGAGAAGATAGGTCTCCAAAACCTCATTTTTGGGAACATTGGTCGTTTATGTATTCCACTCATATGGTTTACACTTAATCCTCAGGATATTGGAAATATATTTTGTGGTAAAACGGGCCAGGGAGGATATTTCGTAGGATGAGATTAGTGCGAGGTAAGACAGAGGGGCTTCAATGAGGTTTGCACTCTTTCCTTCTTCCCACTAAATATGTACAACCTGTCGCACTAATCTACTAAATCAACCACACGTGCTGGCTACAAAATGAGTAGATGGACCATTCTCACTTGTAAATACCCCAAGGAAGTTGTTGGGTGTATGGTACGTCGATTTCGGCTATATTTTTGTGATTGCCAACTGCTTCTAGGGTAAACAGAATGACACACAGAGATGTTGAACGTGAGTATCTCTCAGTCCGGCGGCCGGGGTACGAATCACCGGAGCGGTCAACCAACTGATACATCAAGGATAGCTTCAATCGAGTATACATTGTCTGGCAAAAATCCGGAGCTGGCGATGCATCTGGAGCTGGCGATGCGTGAGTGCTCCACGGGCGATCCAATACTTACGTTAAGATCTAGTTGCCTAGGTCTGAAGTTGCACGTCTTGATAGAGGCCATCTAGAGTCCAACGACGTGTAGATGATGCGTGGGGATGGGGGCAGCAGGAAGATACGTGACGAGTGATTGTTTCCAAGTTAATAGTCTGATGCTTGCAGCTAAGGCAAGCATAGACATGGTAGTCCTCGAGATGGAGGTGGGCGAGCGAGCCGTCGAGACGACAACGGATAGCAATCAGGTTGGGAATGTCGAGAGAGCGGATCAACGGGGTTATGTCACGCCGAGACTCTGGACAGATTCGATGTTTCTCCCACAAATGTGAAGTTGCCTGAGACTTGGAGACTGCCAAAGGATACTGACATGACTTGCAGATCAATGCTAGACCTAGAGGGTCGTACACAAGATTCACAGCAGTCAGCGAAGAATGACCAGCCATTGAAACGGATGATGGAGGATCAAAACATATATATCTCGACAATAGCAGGGGATTACAATTATATGTAGAAGTTTTATATTCATACAGGAAGATACGCGGCACTCATTTGAAGCTTGGACCTTTCTCGCGTATTCTGTCAGAATCTGGACCAGCATTAAGGTCTTTAAGGCGGCTCACCCCCCCCCCCCCCCCTTTCAAATGTTGGAGTTCTGCAGTGAGCCAGTGCTTGCTCAGGGGCCAGGCGACCCAATAGCCAAACCAGCCTCAACCTTTTACTGAAAAAGTCACTTCCCATAAGGGGTAGGAGCCAAATGGTTCTACGAACAGCCATGAGAGCCGAGCGCACAAAGGAATATAAGTCTAATCCTCGTTCCCCCATTAGTTAGAACCAGCGGATCTTTTCGTGGCCTCCCAAAACGCTCCATCACGTGAAATGTCACAAGAACTAACTATTTCAAGTGCAAATTCTGGCATTTTACAACCTTCGACAACAAGGTAGCTTGCTTGAAAATTTAGTCCAGAAAATTTAGTCAAAAATCAGGAAAACATAGGGCTTGATCATGCGTGTCCACTAGCTAGGGCTCTATATTTTTCAAAACTGATTTCTGTTGTCAAACCCTGTGAGGGAGATTTTGAGGGAGACGAACTGAGCGATTTCCACGCGGTGCCAAAATGACTTGCAGAGAACTTCCGACATCTGTTTTGTCCATATCAGGCCTATCAGGCATTCCTCAGCATCCTTCCAACTCTCTAACTTCATTCTGCCCATAATATTGGCCACACGCTCCGCCAGCCACACCTTTTCAGACTCGGTCAAGGAGACTAAAGAACCTATGCAAAGCACCCAGAAGCTAATTCCTAGCGAAGCTTCATCAACAGGGTTCATTAACCCTCCTTTCTCATAATTATCTATCAGCCTCTGCTTCAGGACTCTGAGGACAGCAAATGTTGGTGAAAACTGCCGTAAGGTGTAGTTAATGTAGATCAGTGCGGCGACATAGTATCCTTGACACGTAATATAATTCTGCTGCGTCCCAGGCCACTGATCCTGTTGCCTTAGAAATGATAGTAAACGGCGCTCGAGAGAAGATTTCATTTTACTGAAGCTCATCATTTCTCCCGTGGTGGCACGGCGTCCCCCTTTAAAAGAGTTCATAATAGAAGTCATCGTACGCAGATCATTTAATACCATCATCGGATGATTGTGGAACCACAACGGAAGCACACTGTCAGGAATACCATGCGTTACAGAATCATTTGCTCTTGATCCTCTAACAAAAGACCTAGAAGTAATATATGGGAGCGTCGTAATGCATTGAACTGGCGGAAAACGGGGAATAGAACTGGCTATCGTAGAGGAAAGCGAGTCTTGACTGTGCGTCGTTAACATCTGGTGACTATTACTATCTTCACCTAGGAACTAAATACCAAGAAATGAGCATGTGTAGAACACCATGCATGCCTAATGCTTGTAGGCCACCTTTAAGAGTAACCATCTTCTTCAAGGCGTCCATGTGAAGGTTTAGATCCTTGAGGTTTCCATTTATAATCTGTCTCACAGTGGTATAAATTAGTGTACAGGCCATTTAAATGTTTTAACGCAAATGCATAAGTGACTTACCTCATATATAGCCATTAAAGTCACAGCTCCAATTGTTGAATCGCTTAACCTGTCTGCCGAAGAACTCAAGTTCATGTTGATCAACTGAATAGCCTTACCACGATGCATAAGTGTATCTGAGCTACTGCTCTGGCCATGTAATATATCAAAATGAGCAGCTGCGAAGAAGAGTGTGGCATGAAATAGAGCTTGGTGTGCTATTGCCTCCCTAGCAAATACTATCTTTAGAGGATTTGCACCTTGGTCAGTGCTGACTGAGAGCAACGCTGGTGCAAAAACATCGACAACTTGAGGTTTAATGTCAGTCATGTCAACTGAATAGGAGCAATACTTACAATGTGACAGAAGATAACTGGCCCGATAAGAGCTTGGATTAATGTCCGGAAGCGTGTTGAATGGGTCTATCGACCCAGGCCCAAGTAGTGTCTTGGGACCACTACGGGCGATAGATATCTTGTTTAGCAGATCTAGACATTCAGGCATCTGTTCGGATTTTCCAGATAATTTGTTCAGGGAGGTTCTCGGTATAGGTAGCTTCTCCCGACTGCTTGATGCTTCTCCTGCGTGGCTGAACAGACATTCTGTGTCTGGATAGCTGTCACAAAACAATTTTATAAGCGTTATATATCTAATAAGCACCTAGACATGACGAACCTCACACGATGATTCGTGTCATAGGACGGCCTAAACGGCATCGGTTGACGATGTTTCAATTTGGCTCTCACTCTCCGCTGTACGTGCTTCATAGCATGTGATCGAACAACGTGCTCATTTTGTCTCTTCTGACTATAGCCAGGTTTTGTCACAGTTATGAATTGTAGCTCAGGGTCCTCTTCACGTCCAGATGCCTCGAATCTAACGGGGCCGGAATACATATTGCCTGATTGATTCACGGATTGTCGCATGCGACTCGAGAGTTTCTTGTATGTTAATACGAGCCACGAAATAATAGATGAATGCACTCATTTATTATGATTGTTTGCCCTGGAAGAATAGAGTCGTTGTGAAGGAAATATGCTCTGCCCTGGCTGGTGGCGAACAGAATAGTTTTGTCGCCAAATCGTCATTCGCCAGCTAGAGCGTATTCGGGTATCCACAGTGAGTAAGCAACATGTGGTAAGTTAAGTTAACGTGGTTTAACACCCGAGCGGCGCACCTAAACGAGTCGCGCACTTCCCGTGACCCTGATCACAACTATACTCAATTGTAGCACCACAACAGTCCTAATTAATTGAAACTAATCAGAACCATATACATCAGGTATCTCTTCATCTTTGTCACAAGTTGTTGCATAGTGTGCGGGCTTTCCGCAGTTGATACAGGATCGCGGACCCCGCTCCGTCCTCATCTTCTGACTACTATTCTCCCGCGTTTCCCGGCCTAACTACTCGTCTACATCTTTCTGGGCTATCATATCTTGTCCCTCTTGTGCAATAAGCGGTTATCCAAGTCGTACACGTACCTTTTTAGCTCTCCGGCGTTTGATTAAGGCTGCATTGCATATTACAGTGACTGAACCTGGGCATTCAAGAGCGTAACTGTATGTGCTAATGCTTGTGTTCCCTTTGCAAGCCAATCAACAGCTTGATAAATTGGTGTTAGCGAGCTGCCCCGATGACTGGCAATAAGGCTTTAATAAAAGCTAACTGTGAGACAGCTTCTATTGGTTGTGAGTTGTCAAGGATGTCCAAGGATCGGCAGTTACAAGAATAGGGCTAGTTGGTTTCGGAGCCTGATCCTCCAAATCCTGCCCTGATACTGGTTTCGCCTATACAGGCAAAGAATGCAGCCTTAAATGCAATAAGGAAGTCGACCTTAGTCGCGTGGTTAATGTGTGACTTCATGAAGCCTTCAATCTGACGACCATACGCCCGCTTTAATGGACTAAAGCATCCAACGTCAAGTGGTCGAAGAAGGTGTTATGAAAAGTTGTACTTAGATGCTCTTGCAGAGCTTCTGCTTACTACAGCTATGTATTTAGCTACTATACCAGCTAACTGGTGGGCTCGGCATACCTTTCCATATCCTCGGTATGGTCATGATAACGTACGTCTAACATCTTAGAATCACTTAATAGATCTCGCTATCATGGTCTAGGTGTAGGTTTGGCTAGCAGAATACACGACCGCCATCTGTAAATCGACAGCGGTTAGACGTACACCCTTGTATCTTACAGCTCCGCCGGAACTGTGATGGCATATATTCTTAGATTGTCTTATAAAATTATTTGATATTGTAGCTTCTGCATTGACCGCAAGGCAGTTGTTTGGACAACTGAAAAAGACACCATTTGGAAAGTCAATCCAAATATTCTAGTCACCATGACATAAGCAGGTCCTCTCAGTTATTAGAGGAGGGCTTTCTCGCTAAAAGTGCCACCGGAGGCCAATGATAGATGGCTCCTTTTTTGGTCTCTGCGAACAGATCAAACAACAGTTGCCGACATTCCTTTTCATTTAGAATGGAAAGCTGTCCACCTTTCAATTTCGGTATAGCCTGAAGCAATTCAACGTGGCCGGATAAATATGTATTTGTACACAATGGAACAAGGCTGGGACGAAAAGCGCTAGTTGCGCAGTCGATTACTTCTAAGCCAACTGCCTCTGCATATTTGTCGATTTCTCCTACCCAGCTACCAAAGCACGATTAGTGACTAGGAAACAGTGTTTTCCATTGTTTTCTTACATACTTGAAAATAATATTCGCATCAGTGAAAATTGTCTTAGCTATGCGTTCGAATTCTTCGGCGACGGTGCCGTTGATGAAATTTCGTCCCAGATGCGCCTCTTCCCATTGGATATACCCGCCAGGTTCTGTAGATTGAAGTAATCAGCTATTACATATATCTTAATTGAACTGGGAAAGGAGATTATACTTAGCAGATTCATTGCATGGCGGATCAACAAACTAGGATCGTCACCTTTCACAACGCAGCACCAGAACCGAAGGTGGACCACGTCGTACTTTCCTGCTAGATGAGGGGGTATATCTCCGAAGGCATCAAGTACGTTTAGGCTTATGTTGTCAGCTAAGACAGCTTCCGACGGATACTGGCTACTGGAGATATCATAGCCATCTAGCTGTATTGTCTTTGGCAGATGCTCTGCCAAGTCCAAAAGCCAAAGACTATCTCATAGTCAGATTGGATATCTCTTAAAAATGCAGTCGTAGTATGCATACCCTGTTCCAGTTCCAATTTCTGCGATCTTCATACCCGGACTGATAGGAATCTTAGGATTTAACGTATACCCGTTATGAAGTGTCCACAGGAGATGCTGCGCATCCAATCTAACAAGAACTGCTGTTATTATCCGATTCTTTTTTTAACCGTGTCGCGGGGGTGTCATCTGCGAACCTAACAGAACCATACAAATCCCGGCCGAGGACGTAATCCTCTAATCCTGTCGACGAGTTTTCCATTGCCTCTTTGCTAATTGAGAAGTTTTTTCATATAATATATGTATAAGTTACTCATAACGTAGAAAAATGTATGCCAAAATATATAGTTGCTGGTAAAACCTTTCGTGAAAATTCTCCTCGTGAGCTTATGTCAGATATAAGCTAGGCCGTAGACAATGAATATACGCGCACGCCGTTCGACTTCCATTCTAGTTACGTTTACCTCGAGCCGTTACAGGTGGGACCAGTATACAAATCCATGCCTTCCGATAGCTGTCGGATACGGAAGGTAATAGTGGGTCGAGATCCTAGAAATGTATAGCCGCCTATGCAGAGTACATGGTAAGCAATGTTGATATCACATGCGAGAAGCTAACTGTTTTAGGGCTGTGGGGTTAAAAAAAGAGGCCATTGATAATCATAAAAGAAATACTACTTCAAGTCACCGACAGAGGATACGAGGGTGACTTATCCTAGTCGAGACTCCCAAGTCCCTCTTGGTTCCATTGATGTATTACGCTGGCTTAAACTACTCCAACACTAGACCTATGTCTCTATATATAGCAAGTGTACTCCCTTTTATAGAAAGTGTACTTTCTACTAGGGCTAAATACGACCAACTAGGTCACTGCAAGCACATGCTCGTGAGACCCAGATCAAACATCTAAAGCAGTCCGGTGATGACCCTAGTGGCTACAAGTAGGCGTATGCTTACCAATTTGTACAGTTACATCACTAAGGTCCTGGACTCAAAATTCGCATGAATCAGGGTCTGTACTCTGTATTAGAGTATTATTTTCGTACTCTTAGCTCTTGATATTTATTTTTGCAAGTGGGAGTTATTCTAAGCGAATTATTACATTGCTCGCTATGGCCCTTCCCTTGAACTCTAATGTCCCTTCCATCGATGATTTAACCCCGTCCGGCGGAATTCTACGAACTGTCACCCAAACTATAGGGCCACGGTGGTCCCCTCGCCTAGGGAAGGCCACCCACCAGTCCTAGCAATACCGCTGGGTGTCGTGAGACTCCGGTAGACGCCGGACCTTTTCCTCACATATATATAAGGGAGTTGGAAGTGAGCGGCCACAGTCCGATATAACCGACTACCTTGCTTTATACTTCTGTCCTGTCCACAACTCTCAAACCTAACCCATAAAGAACAAATACTGCTCTCGACCATCATATAAGATTCACTTTCCGCTCTTCTTCTTCCTCCCCTTCTTCTACGTCTTATTCTTTCGCCCACCACACCCAGTCAATTTCCGCCACCATGGACGCCTTCTCTGCTCAAGCCAAGGCCCTCATCAAGACGAACGACGAAGCTGGCCGCAAGAAGATCCTGGACACTCTGCGCGACCTCTGCTACTCACTCGAATCCGCCCAGGACTCGGCCCAGAGAATCATGTACCTCGTACAGCATTCATCCGCTCATAACCCTTTTTGTTCCCTGCTAACACGCGGGTAGCAACTTCAAGTCGCAGCTGTCCGGATCGGTTGTGACCTCAAGCTCTTTAATATCCTCGCGGAGACTCCAACTCCCCTGACCGTGGACAGCCTGTCAAAAACGACTGGTGCAGCGCCAACACTTCTAGGTAAAAGCCTACTGCGGGAAATCTATCTACATTTACACTGGCACAGCGACTGATTAGCGCGCCGCGTAGCCCGCATTCTGCGCTACTTGGCCTCAGTTGGTATTATCAAGGAGACAGATAAGGATACCTTCACTAAGAACAACATCACCCAGACCTTCACAAACCCTGGATTCCAGGGTGGCATTTACCATTAGTGAGTAGAGGTAGCACCTCCCGAACTCCATCTCGTTACTGACCATCTACAGCCATGACAGTATCGGCCCTGCCATAACGGCCCTCCCCGACTTCCTGAAGGAAAATAACTACCAGGATATCACAAGCGTTGTGCATACCCCACTCCAAAAGGCATGGAACACAGATCTCCCCGCCTTCATCTGGGTTCAGACCAAGCCGGAGAACTTTGCCCATTTCAACCAGTTCATGGTTGCTCAGCGCCTGGGCATGCCTACCTGGCTAGATGTCTACCCATATCAGCATAAGGCAGAGAACTTGAAGCCAGAGCAGCCATTCTTTGTCGATCTCGGTGGTGGTCTTGGACACCAGAGCATTGCTCTACGCGAGAAGCTACCTGACTTGCCCAATAGGATCATTCTGCAGGATATCCCTGCGACTCTAGAGCATGCCATCAATCACCCAGGCGTGGAGATCGTAGTGCAGGACTTCTTTCAGACTCAGGTTATAGCAGGTACGATCATTCTCGCAATGCTCTTCTCTCCCACAAACCTTTACGAAAACATGTGGTGGTGCATGAAGCGGCGATGCTCACTCCTCACTAGGTGCAAAAATATACTACATGCGCAACATTATACATGACTACCCCGAGGACAAGGCTATTCTCATCCTGAAGAATATAATTGCAGCCCTGGCAACAGACTCCGTTATCCTGATTGACGACATGGTCATTCCCAACTCTAGTGCCCACTGGCAGGCAACTCAGATCGACCTGGTCATGATGATGTCATTAGCCTCCCTGGAGAGGACCAAAGAGCAGTGGCACGAGCTTCTCGAGAAGGCGGGCTTAAAAATCAACAATATATATACCTACACTGCCAGTCTGCAGGACAGCATCATCGAGTGCGTGCCGGCTTAGATGGAGATAATTTTACATAGATCAAGCTGCGGTTATAATCTGACGCTAGTGGTTCACTGACAAGACAGCGTGATTCCTCGTCCCGTATTCTCACGTCACCTTATTCCCCTGATCTTAGCCCAATTACGCACGCGCAGTGGTACCTGGGAATATGTTTCTGGGGTCGCACCCTGAGCTTGATGCTCGGGCTTGTGGCAAGGACATGTAAATGTAGCACTCGTTGATCCACTTCAAAGGCTAGTTTCCCCTTCTGCCAAGGCATGCGCTTTCAGGGACGCATATATTGTATTTAACGCTAGTGAAAAGAACACTTTCTATAAAGGGAGTAGTACACTATCTGTAAAGGGAGTAGGGCCGAGGATGAAGCTAGCAAGCTAGCAAGGAGTGCAAATGCCTTTCCTGGACTAGTGTAAGGCTAATGCCTCTTAGCATCAGGCTAATATAGTAGCACTATGTCATAATAGGATATTGGTATGAGGCCCGCCACCAAAACTAGCAGGCATGACAAGTTCTGATCTTGTTGCATAGTTGCGTGTTTGCGTGCGAGAATGAAGCGTATTACCGACTCGTGATTAAAATTCGAAATTGAAATACCGGACAGAGTAACGACTATCACTGAACTAACTTCGGAATTTTCAACAGCATACTATAACCAAGAGCTTGACCAATTACTTGGTCATACACACGACTGTGGTGGCTACAATGGCTTCTAGTTCTGTATCAGGCTTTTTCCAAGAGAGGCCCAAGATCTCGAATCAACTGTATGAGGATGTTGCATTAAGTCGAGCATTTAAATGTCAGATCACTTTCGCACACTAAAGTTCCAATAAACAGCTCTTCTAATTGAATCCTAGCATACCTTCCACCACAAATACAGCAATCAGTCTCATCAGATATCTCGCGATTTGCGGAGGTTGTGCTGTCGAAGAGGGTTCTGGATTGGGTGGCGGATGCCGAACGCCATCCGCCAGTTTTAAAATCTTGGGACACCTTTGGCGAGAGGAGAGATGATCTGGTGACAAGCGAAGGCTGGAGGAAACTCCAGGATCTGGGTGTTCAAGAAGGCATTATTGCTATCCCCTACGAGGTTAATGAAGGCCAATATAGCAGGGTTTATCAATTCTTGAAGTCAGTGCCAGCCCTCAGAAACAAGACAGACATCTCATACTGACGCCGACCTTAGGTATCACGTCTTCAGCGGCAGTTCTGCATATGTTATATGCCCCTCAGCCATGACAGACGGAGCAGCTTCTCTTCTGCTGAGGCACCTGAAATCAAATTCTCTTCCCGCTTCTGTCCGGCCCATATTAGATTCTGCTTTCAAGTGTCTCATCTCCCGTGATCCAGCAAAGGCATGGACCTCGGGTCAATGGATGACGGAGCGAAAGGGCGGCAGCGACGTATCTGGAACCGAAACAATAGCCGTAATGGCGGATAGCCCCCTGAAAAATAGCAGAGGTGTCGATGGCTCCGACCTTGGCCCATATAGCATTAGCGGCTTCAAGTGGTTCTCCAGTGCTACAGATTCCAACATGAGCATCCTACTCGCACGGTCCCCTAATGGTAATGTATCTGCCTTCTACGCACCAATGCGCCGCACAGTCCCTTGGACTACCGATGGACAAACCGAACTTAATGGTATACATATACAACGTTTGAAGAGCAAACTTGGGACGCGCGCTGTACCCACCGCCGAATTGGAGCTCAAAGATATGCGAGGGTACCTACTGGGCACTGAAGGTCAAGGAATTAGAGAGATCGCCGTGATGCTGAACATAACGCGCGTACACAATTCTGTCACAGCTCTGGGCTTTTGGGGTCGTGGCCTAGCCATCAGCAAAGCATTTGCACGGGTCCGTAACATCGGAGGCAAGCGCTTGGTGCACATACCTGCGCATGTAATGACGATGGCAGAGCAAGAAGTCGAATACAGAGGCTACATGCAGCTGACCTTCTTCACGGTGTTGTTACTCGGGATTTCTGAACAGGGCTCAAGCAATGCTTCATCCGAGCGAGCACCAGCAATGGCACACGGGTCGCTGGCCAAGATCACTCCTAGCTTCGAGGATGCGCGATTGTTGTTACGGGTTTTGACGCCCGTCATCAAATCTCTGACAGCCAAGGCAGCAATCGCTGGCTTGAGCGAGTGCATGGAATCACTGGGAGGAGTAGGATATCTGGAGAATGATGAGATGCAATTCAATATCGCACGTCTCTTTCGCGACGCATCCGTTCTTAGTATTTGGGAAGGGACGACGGATGTTATGGCTATGGATATGGTGAAGGTTCTGAAAGGGCATAGTGGAGTAGATGTGTTAAAGGTTCTGGAAACTTGGCTGATGGCAGCTGGGGATGCTGCGGCCCACCGTGAGTGGGTAAGATGGGCTGGAAAGGTCAAAAGTGAAGGGCTGGAAGAACTCAAAGTCCAAGGAAGACAGATTATGAGGGAACTAGGAAAGCTCATCGCGGGTGTCTTGCTTCAGGTTGACGCTGAAAGGGATGGAGATGAAGTCGCAAAAGAGGTATCACGGAGATGGATTTGTAAGTCGGTTAACAGAACAAGGGGATCCTGGCAGTCAAGGTGTATGTGGGACAGGAAGATTGTTTTTGGCAGTTCCGACGAGGCAAAACTGTGAGGGTCGCATGAAAACACTTCAAACTCCCTCTGAAAAGTTACCGCATTGCCCCAACCTTCTTACTGACTACCAGTTGGATAGGGAAACCAGGTTTCTTTTGCTGCTTCGACTACAATTTGTCCGAATACTTTAGTTGTATATCTAGGTAGTTAGTAGATAACTCCACCTGAAAAGCAACGTTGGAATTACCGGAACTGACAAATACCCGCCTCGTCTGCTTTCCAGGCTCGCAAAATGGCGATGTCGCCCGTGATAGACTCCTCAGATTGTAAAGCTTACCATTTAAAAATAAAAATTGAAAACCCTCGTCTCCCTCCCCCTTTCCTTTTTCTAACTGTTGCTTTGCCGATCGCTCCGTCCACCGGTCCAAGCCGTACGGATATACCACCAGATTGGAGCAAAGTGTCTTTAAGTCAGGGATATCAGTCTCCATCTTTCGAAATCTACAATTAAATGGAAAAAAAATTGCGGTCATCCTAGGCTACATACTTGGTGGATTGCAAGCTAGAACATGTACATAATAAATGCTGTAGAAGCGATATACGAGAGTAGTAGGGGTATTCGATATGCTCCGAGTTTGCTTGCGTCACGAGGGTGGTTTAATTCACGTTGTATGTTAAACTTACCTTTCAAGAGATCTCGAATAACTATCGTAACTACAAGTGATGAAAGGATCCAGCTACGGTGGTGTGCAAAAGCTTCGGTTCTCGAAGATGCGCATCTTATAGATATGATGTAGAGGAAAGAGATTGATTGCCTTCAGACGGTTGGATGGCGCCGAGTCCTGTTCCGTTCAACTAACTTACAGGTACGACCCGTGTCACCCACCATGCAAGCCTTACCCAAAGCATACTCAACGGACAGTACAGTAAACACCTTATTCTTATTCTGTGCTGCACACTTCACACATCAATATCACAAATCGTACGGCGTATAACAAAAGTAGGGAGGGCTACATGTCTGGTAGTCAATTCCAAACATGTAGCCCCTTAGAAGTCCTCCAACCCCATTGCTCTAATCTTTTCAATCTTCCCCATTCTTCGCACTTTTCCTGTTTAGCCGGTTCAGCCCCCTTCCTCTTACTTTTCGTCTTGTTCGTGCCTATAGCTGAATGTCGAGACGTCGAACGGTAGTGGATCTGAAGTCCTTGTCTGGCACCCCTCCCATTCTCTAATACCAGACCCGGAGTAAGTCGACTCGGGGAATTCACTCGTGTGCTTTGTTCGGAGCGTTGCAAGCTCCTGCTTAGCCGTGGCGTACTCCACTTGGAGCGTCTGGTACGATAGAGTCAGTGCACTGTGTTGCTCTTGCAGCTCCATCAACCCCTCTTCGATCTCCTTCATCCGTTCCGCTTTCCTGGCGCGGAATTTTCGCTGCGAGGCTCGATTCTGAGCCCGTCGGCGCTGGTGGGAGCGTCAGCCAGTCTCTACATTGAAATGACAGCATCTTCTACGTACCAAGTTGACATATGGCGGGAAGAGCTTGTCGCCTGTGCTTTTTTTCCTTCTGCAGACCTGCGTCTCGTAGAGGCCTTCCACATCGAACCCCATCGCTACTGCTGTTACGGGATATTGCACTGGGTACGCATTCCGCAGGAGCGTGCTAACGTGATTGCCATACATATTATCAAACCCCTACCAGAAGCGTTAGCTATATACTGTTTAGTTTTGGCAGATTTTGGGCCTTTACCGTGGCATGTGAGGGCGAGACTGTCGAGAATTCGCTTGATGTGCCATGAAACATCCCACCGCTGATGTCTGCAGGCTTCAGGTAGGACTGAATATTTGTAAAGTCGCTGTCGTACTTAGCCGTCATTTTAGATAGAAGTTCAGGGGAAGGCCGGCTTCAATGCGTGTACGAGACTGTCCCAGCGGCAGAATGCAACTCGTCGACTCTGGACTGGATCGACTCGGCCTTTTACTGCAGACTGATTTTGGAGGGTACAGTAGTCCAAACCTTGCTCTCCTTCCCGTATGAGAGACAGATATAGCTTATAGCTAGGGCTCTTCGGCTTGGAGAGCGTTCGATGGCGGGGGTAATGCCTCTCATGGAGAGGCCGAGACCTTCCGGATACGCGACTCAGCGCTTCGTACAGAACCCGGAAGCCAATCACCGGGCGGTGGTCTTTTAATACAGGAGGCTGGCCCGCCTGCCTAGATCTAGCAGGGTCTTGAAACAAGCCCTCTCAAGGTGTCATCCAACGAGCTCCCGCATCGTTACCAGAAAAGATAAAACTGTTGACCGAGGTAGGTCACTTATTGGGGCATGTCTGCATAAATCGTATTGGATTGATTGATTAAAGAGCATAATAAGGATGCCCATCTTCTGAAGCTATATGGGATTCAGGGGTTACGGCGTAGCATCGCCTAATAAGGAACCAGGGGTTGAGTCTAACAAAAACCGCAAATAAAAAGCTGGCTTGCGGACGTGGATTACATGGTAGAGATAAGCAAGTTGTAGATACGCATAATTGTACCAACGCACTTGCTATAAAGGTGCTTTGGATATCTCTTCGAAATAAGAGGTAGACACTTGTGGAAAGATTGACGCAGCTACTTAAGATTGGAGCGAGAAAGATGGTACGAGGATCAAAGCATTTCCTTGTAGTCCGAAACGGGTTGGTCAAGCATCTGCTTAAGATTATCATGTCCGGGAACGCTAGCCGGATGTAGAATATGCTATCCTTGCAACATTTCTTGTCCGGGGTCACGGTAACAGAGATCAGAATATTATCTGCAGTTATGATTGGTCGTGTGCTTAACGTACTATGAGCTATAAAGGTCTCTGGCACCTTCTTCTACAGTATCCAGCAATTGCCTATTCTGAAAGTTCCGACCTCCAACTTTTATCAGTCGAACAATTGAGCATCAACCAGGATGGCCCATTCGTACAAGTCACAGTACCCAACAAAGGTCGTCGTCGATGAGGAAATCGTGCAGTTTTTCGAGGACTTCTACCGCATATCGGACACGCCAGGTGTGCATGAGGAATATGCCAACTACTTCACCAAAGATGCGACTTTCATCCTAGCCTCAAAATCAATCAAGGGCTATGAGGGTAATTATATTCCCTTACTCCAGGGCGATACTGCTGGCCGTGGTGTAATTTTTTTTCTTTGCAACGCACCAAATATGCATCTACTAGCTGAGTCTTCCGCTAAATTTGTTCATGCAAGCTTTCTTATTGGACACCACCTAACAAGGAGCAGAAATTCTCGCGGCCCGTAAAGCCATGTGGACCGCCGTCGCCTCACGCGCCCACAAGCCGATTAAGGTCTTCCCATTCGGACATGTTTCTACGGAATTCATGCTTTATGGGACCGTGTCCTATGAGATGAAGGACGGGAGGAAGTCAGGCCTTGATTTCTCTGCTCGAGCAAAAATGGTGCAGATCGAGAAGCAGTGGAAAATACAAGATTACCAAGTTTATATGGTGGGTCAAGTTTAGATCAGGAATCAGAGTGAGCCGTATATGACTGATGGGGATACAGGATACAGCAGCATAGCAGCCAAAGTAGAGAACGCTGAGGCGTCTTACTTTAACGATTGTTAAAGGCTGATAGAAGGACACAACAGGACCAATACATGATTAATAATCTAAGGGGGAGATGCTTTGAAATCAATGTTTTCGCCAAGGACTGATAATCATATGCCATAAATCTGTTCCTGTTCTATTTTGTGATGTAAAGATTTGAAGAATACCATACTTAGACCCCTATAGCAGCCCATCTGTCTTTTCTTTTCGGAAAGCAATAGCCAGCTGTTAAATTTTAGCTAAAATTTTGGGTATATGTGAGATAGACGTACTGGAAATATTTGGACCTATCGTTGATGGTTAGCATCGTTGGCCCCGCATAGCAAGAAGTTATATCAAAAACCTTTTCCAAGTTCCACACACCATTATAGTAAATATCCGCTTGGAGCTTTGCAATCACCTCTTCCTTCGTCGTAGCATTTGCAACAAGGCAGCTACCGTTAACCACTTGTCCCTGGCCTTCCTCCGGCGCTTTTAATAGAGCACCTTCCAGCGACAATTACAGTTAGTCGCTATAAAGTACCGCAAGCACTCCTAGGTATGGAGACAAATATGCAGAAATGGGAATGATTGGAGCGCAAACCTCCCATAGTCCAGAATCCAGAAGCGATATGTGGTACCAGTCCCTGCAGATGTGCTCTATGCTCTGATAAGCTCATGTTCGTTTGATAAAGCAGGAGGAGGTAGAAGGACAGATGATAGAGGTGCATACTCTCGCCCAGCTAGTCGCTCCCGCCCCACGTTTTCGTGATCGGAGATTATAACGAGCCAGTCTACTAGCTTTGTTGCATCTGCTGTCATATTGCCTGTTGCTTGGATTTATAGGTGTCAATGGCTGACGATAAGTAGAGTAAATATACAGGAGGTATTATATGATTAGTCTATTCAGAAGGTTTAAATAGAGCGAAGATGAGGTAACGATGGAGAATTAACTTTAGGCGGGTGGATAATCCAAAATATAATTAGTAAGATCCGCACTAGGGGCGAAAGTGTCGGAAGCCACCGTAAATGCCGTAGCAAGCGGTCAAATTACCATGGATGCACATTCATATGCGCCGGCAGAATCCTTGCTTTGTTATACGACGGCAAGTTGTTTGCCACAGTATACGAGCACTTGTGTAAGGGTTGAATCCCTTATTAGGTGGTCTATCCGCCTATCCAAGATTTCCGGTTAAGGGGTGGCACACTGAAACGATCATCTTCGTGACCACCAAAGAATGTCAATTCTACAACGCTTACTTTAACAACACAATTATATATAGAATAACGTATTTCCCGTACGAGTGGCCCACCCGAACGAGTGGCCCACCAAAACACCAAAACGCGTCAATGTGACTATAGTCAACAATGCCACGACCAACACAAGCCAAATCCTCTAATCAAGAGGATAGAATACTATTAGCTATGCAAGCAATTAAACAAGGCCAGTTTCAAAGTGTCCGAGTAGCTGCAGCATCGTACGATATCCCTCGAACAACACTACGTCGACGAATTCAAGGAATGACATCCCGACGCGATTCTACACCTAACTTACAGAAGTTGACTCCGTACGAAGAGTCAGCTCTTGTTCAGTATATCCTCGACCTAGATTCACGTGGATTTCCACCCCGGCCACAAGCTGTACAAGAAATGGCTGACCTTCTACTCTCTGAACGAGGCGAGAGCCCTGTTGGGAAGAACTGGGCTACAGGCTTCATAACGCGTCGTACGGAAATCAAATCAAAGTTTAGTCGGAAGTACGACTATAAACGAGCAAAATGCGAAGATCCTAAGATAATTCAAGAGTGGTTCTCTCTCGTACGAAACACAGTTGCAAAATACGGCATCTTAGAGTAGGATATCTACAACTTTAATGAAGCAGGTTTCGCAATGGGAGTTATTGCTACTGTAAAGGTAGTCACAAGCTCAGAAGCAAAGAGCCGTCCAAAGACTATATAGCCAGGAAATAGAGAGTGGGTGTCAATTATCTAAGGTGTCAATTCGTACGGATGGGCACTCCCGCCGTTTATCATTTTTAAGGCGCAGAATCACCTCTCTGCTTGGTACGAGGACTTAGAATTACCAGACGATTAGGTGATTACACTAAGTGAGAATGGGTGGACTTCAAATTCAATTGGGTACGAGTGGATCTAACACTTCGATCGACATACAAGCACTCGTACGATCGGAACCTATCGCCTTCTTATTCTTGACGGATATGAGAGCCACCTCTCAGCTCAATTTCAGCACTACTGCATAGAACGGAAGATAATCACCCTCTGTATGCCACCACACTCCTCACACATTCTTCAGCCGCTTGACGTAAGCTGCTTTGCTCCACTAAAGCTTTCGTACGGACGTTAGATTAAAACCTTCGTACGGAACAGGCTAAATCACATTACGAAGCTTGAGTTTCTCTCTGCATTTAAAGAGGCATTTAAAGCTACATTTACAGAGCAGAACATTAAGAGCGGGTTCCGAGCTACAGGACTAGTTCCGTACGAGCCACAGAATGTCCTCTCTTACTTGAATCTACACTTGAGGACTCCAACTCCTCCTATAGTTGAGAGTAACAATTGGACTTCAAAGACTCCTCAAACTATAAGGGAGCTTGACTTTCAAACAGAGCACGTTAGGAACCGCATTATACAGCATCAGAATAGCTCTCCTAGC